GTAGACGCAGCGTCGCTAACCGATGCGCCACCGCTCCCCCACGCAAAACCCTAAAAAATATTTTTGTTATAAAATCAAATCGTCATCAGAGGTCATTATCAAGCCACTGCTGGATTTAAAGTCTTGCTTTGTGTGTGTGGGGGGGTTGGGGGGAGAGTTGGATACTCGTTTGACCATACCTCACCGCGCCGGTGAATGGAGGCGTTTGCTACGATTTAAGTTGACGTCAGGCTGGGATACTTCGGTTGAGAGAATCGCCACTGATGGTGGCCGTGAGCGGGAGAGAGAAGGGAGGGGAGGGGATCGAATCTTGGGTGGCCGGGCTCATAGACGCAGCGTCGCTAACCGATGTGCCACCGCTCCCCCACAGCACTCTCTCTCTGACATTAAACACATTGTCCTGCGGAGGGAGCTGGTAGGAACGTCGGGTTGCTCGGTCAATGGCCTGCAGGGTCAACGGCGGCGTGGTGTATTCCGCAAATCTGGCCGACTGTGAGGGCGGGCACAAGCCGGCGTGAGTAGGTGAAACGTTGAGTTTTATAAGGGCACCACGGGGTGACCAGCCCCTCCCCACCCAGCCCCACCCTCCCACCCAGCCCCACTCTCCCCACCCAGCCCCTCCCCACCTTCCCCTCTCCACCCAGCCCCACCCCTCCCACCCTCCACCCAGCCCCTCCCCACCCTCCCCACCCAGACCCTCCCCACCCTCCCCACCCAGACTCATCACACAGAGAGCCATAGACTCATCACGCAGAGAGCCATAGACTCATCACACAGAGAGCCACAGACTCATCACGCAGAGAGCCATAGACTCATCACGCAGAGAGCCATAGACTCATCACACAGAGAGCCATAGACTCATCACGCAGAGAGCCATAGACTCATCACACAGAGAGCCACAGACTCATCACGCAGAGAGCCATAGACTCATCACGCAGATAGCCATGGCGATTGTGGTGATGGTGTCGATGGTGATTGTGGTGATGGTGATGATGTTAATGGTGGTGATGATGCTTGTGGTGACGATGTTGGTGACTTGGTGTTGATGGTGATTGTGGTGATGTCGGTGGTGATGTTGATGATGATGTTGATGGTGATGTTGATGATGATGTTGATGGTGGTAATGTTGATGGTGATTGTGGTGATGTTAATTGTGGTGATGTCGATGGTGGTGATTGTGGTTTACCTGCTTGTGTGCACTGCCGGTGATGTTGGATTTAGCCGGATCTGACCTCAAATACGGGCGATGCCCCGGGCTCATAGAGCCAGCCTAAGGCTCCATTAGCATTCTTAGAGTTCAGTGTAAATGCCTGACGTTCATAGAGCCGGTCTGAGGCTCACGGAGCCAGACTGAGGCTCACGGAGCCAGACTGAGGCTCGTTTAACGTTCTTGGGTTCAGTGTTAATATCTGACGTTCATAGAGCCAGACTGAGGCTCGTGGAGCCAGACTGAGGCCTTGAGAACCAGACTTGGGCTCGCTTAAGCGTTCCGTTCATAGAGCCAGACTGAGGCTCACGGAGCCAGTCTGAGGCTCACGGAGCCAGACTGAGGCTCGTTTAGCGTTCCGTTCATAGACCCAGACAGACTCATACAACCAGACTCAGGCACCCTTAGCATAATGAGAGGTTCAGTGTAAATATTTGACATTCATAGAGCCAGACTGAGTCTCTCTCTCTGCAAGATGCGCTCACTGCATTGCGCACTTTCAGATGGCCGTCTGGAGCGTTCCTTTAAATCATCTACATTGAAAACGAATTTCTTTAGAACCATTTTCTGCGTGTTTAGTTTGTTGTCCTTCCCCGGCATCTCTGATTAGCGCGGTTGGCTACGTACGGTGCGAAAGAAGTTAAACGTGTTCTTTCGGTAAAGTCACGTAGAAGGGAAATAATAAAAATACAAAACACTAAAATTCTCACGACGTTTCGACTGCAACACAAGCAATCATCATCAGGTGTGAAATCAAGTCACGTTAGTAGGGAAATAATAAAATAATAAAAATACTAAACAATAAAATTCTCACGACGTTTCGACTGCAACACAAGCATGATCAGGGGGTGGTGATCTTCACTCATTTTTAGAGGAGGGGGTGGGGGGGAGCGAGGATGCCACTTGGCCGCTAAGACATCACCAGTGTGTGAGCGAGAGTTGCCACATCGTCTAAAACCATTGGGAGATTGTAACAGCAGCACGCTGATGATGATGGCTGCGGGCTTTTCACCATTTGTCAGAGGTCGCAAACGTGTTTTGATTCCGTACCTGTACCCGGCCGCACCAGGGTCGCAAACGGGTACCCGTACCCGGCCGTACCCGTACCCTACCCGTACCCGGCTGGGTACGGGTAGGGTACGGGTACGACGTTTGGACTGCAACACAAGCAATCATCTTCAGGTGTGAAATCCCCAGCAAGAAAATTTCAAATTTTCAAATGTTCTTGCTGTGGATTTCACACCTGATGATGGATTATCGGTAGAATGAATGAAGTTTGGCTTGCAGAGGTTGAAATCCTGAGTAAGTGACTTAACAGGTGAGTGAGTGAGTTGATTATCGGTAGAATGAATGAAGTGTGGCTTGCAAAGGTTGAACTCCTGAGTGAGTAAGTAAGTGACTTAACAGGTGAGTGAGTGAGTTGATTATCGGTAGAATGAATGAAGTTTGGCTTGCAAAGGTTGAACTCCTGAGTGAGTAAGTGACTTAACAGGTGAGTGAGTGAGTTGATTATCGGTAGAATGAATGAAGTTTGGCTTGCAAAGGTTGAACTCCTGAGTGAGTATGTGACTTAACAGGTGAGTTAGTGAGTTAGTTGATTATCGGTAGAATGAATGAAGTTTGGCTTGCAAAGGTTGAACTCCTGAGTGAGTAAGTGAACTAACTTAACAGGTGAGTGAGTTGATTATCGGTAGAATGAATGAAGTTTGGCTTGCAGAGGTTGAACTCCTGAGTGAGTAAGTGACTTAACAGGTGAGTGAGTTGATTATCGGTAGAATGAATGAAGTTTGGCTTGCAAAGGGTTGAACTTCTGAGTGAGTAAGTGAACTGACTTAACAGGTGAGTGAGTGAGTTGATTATCGGTAGAATGAATGAAGTTTGGATTGTAGAGGTTGAACTCCTGAGTGAGTAAGTGACTTAACAGGTGAGTGAGTTGATTATCGGTAGAATGAATGAAGTTTGGCTTGCAAAGGGTTGAACTTCTGAGTGGTAAGTGAACTAACTTAACAGATGAGTGAGTGAGTTGATTATCGGTAGAATGAATGAAGTTTGGCTTGCAAAGGTTGAACTCCTGAGTGAGTAAGTGACTTAACAGGTGAGTGAGTGAGTTGATTATCGGTAGAATGAATTAAGTTTGGCTTGCAAAGGTTGAACTCCTGAGTGAGTAAGTGACTTAACAGGTGAGTGAGTGAGTTGATTATCGGTAGAATGAATGAAGTTTGGCTTGCAAAGGTTGAACTCCTGAGGGAGTAAGTGAACTAACTTAACAGATGAGTGAGCGAGTTGATTATCGGTAAAATGAATGAAGTTTGGCTTGCAAAGGTTGAACTCCTGAGTGAGTAAGTGAACTAACTTAACAGGTGAGTGAGCGAGTTGATTATCGGTAAAATGAATGAAGTTTGGCTTGCAAAGGTTGAACTCCTGAGGGAGTAAGTGAACTAACTTAACAGGTGAGTGAGCGAGTTGATTATCGGTAAAATGAATGAAGTTTGGCTTGCAAAGGTTGAACTCCTGAGTGAGTAAGTGAACTGACTCAACAGGTGAGTGAGTTGATTATCGGTAGAATGAATTAACACGTAGGCTTTCGCGACCAATTTTATTCATAATCAACGTTTTCTAAACCCAAAAACGTTGATTATGAAGAATGAATTAAGTTTGGCGTGCAGAGGGTTGATCTCCTGACTCGCTCACTGAGTGAGTGAACGAGTGAGTGAGTTAGTTGATTATCGGTAGAATGAATGAACGTTGGCGTGCAAAGGTTGATCTCCTGACTCGCTCACTCACTGAGTGAGTGAACTCACTGAGTGAGTGAACGAGTGAGTGAGTTAGTTGATTATCGGTAGAATGAATGAACTTTGGCGTGCAAAGGTTGATCTCCTTACTCACTCACTCACTGAGTGAGTGAACTCACTGAGTGAGTGAACGAGTGAGTGAGTTAGTTGATTATCGGTAGAATGAATGAACTTTGGCGTGCAAAGGTTGATCTCCTGACCTGCTCACTGAGTGAGTGAACTCACTGAGTGAGTGAACGAGTGAGTGAGTTAGTTGATTATCGGTAGAATGAATGAACTTTGGCGTGCAAAGGTTGATCTCCTGACTCACTCACTCACTGAGTGAGTGAACTCACTGAGTGAGTGAACGAGTGAGTGAGTTAGTTGATTATCGGTAGAATGAATGAACTTTGGCGTGCAAAGGTTGATCTCCTTACTCACTCACTCACTGAGTGAGTGAACTCACTGAGTGAGTGAACGAGTGAGTGAGTTAGTTGATTATCGGTAGAATGAATGAACTTTGGCGTGCAAAGGTTGATCTCCTTACTCACTCACTCACTGAGTGAGTGAACTCACTGAGTGAGTGAACGAGTGAGTGAGTTAGTTGATTATCGGTAGAATGAATGAACTTTGGCGTGCAAAGGTTGATCTCCTGACTCGCTCACTGAGTGAGTGAACTCACTGAGTGAGTGAACGAGTGAGTGAGTTAGTTGATTATCGGTAGAATGAATGAACTTTGGCGTGCAAAGGTTGATCTCCTGACTCGCTCACTGAGTGAGTGAACGAGTGAGTGAGTGAGTGACCAAGCGGAGCCAGAGCTGGCCACAATGCCTCCGCCGCGGTTGTGTAAACACGCTGGCAAGGGCACGTTGTCGTCTTCTTCCTGTTGCCGGTCCGTGCCGGTCTCCTCTCGCTCCCCTCGCTCACCCGGGGAGATCCGGCCTCTGCTGCTGCTGCCTGGGATTGACGTGGAGCGGGCGAGGTGGGGAGACACGTGGGGTTGGGGGGATAGCTCACACGTCAGAGGAGTTGCTTGCGACTTCAGAAGTCGCAGGGAGGCTGAGAGCTGGGAGTTTGCAAGAGTTCTCTGCGTGTGTGTGATCAAGTGGTTCACAGGATCAAGGTGAGTGGCCGTGTGGGTGAGTGCGAGTACGTGGGTCGGTGTGTGAGCGAGTGTGTTTTTAATTTGTTTCGCACCGTACTTTGCCAACCGCGCTAATCGGAGTTGCGAGTGGATGAATGAGGAGTTGATGGTGGGCGAATGAGCGAGTAGGTGGGTGGGTGAGTGAGTGAGTAGAGGAGTGGGTGGATGAGTAATTGGGTGAGTATGTGAGTGAGTGAATGAGCGAGCAGGTGGGTGAGTGAGTGAGTAGGCGAATGGGTGGATGTGTGAGTGAGTGGGTGAGTATGTGAGTGAGTGGGTGAATGAGAGAGCAGGTGGGTGAGTGAGTGAGTAGGCGAGTGGGTGGATGAGTAATTGGGTGAGTATGTGAGTGAGTGGGTGAATAAGCGAGCAGGTGGGTGAGTGAGTGAGTAGAGAAGTGGGTGGATGAGTAATTTGGTGAGTGTGAGTGGGTGAGTATGTGAGTGAGTGGGTGAATGAGCGAGCAAGTGAGTGAGTGAGTAGGCGAGTGGGTGGATGAGTGATTGGGTGAATATGTGAGTGAGTGGGTGAGTGGGTGAATGAGTGGGTAGGCGAGTGGGTGGATGAGTGATTGGGTGAATATGTGAGTGAGTGAGTGAGTGGGTGAATGAGTGGGTAGGTGAGTGGGTGGATGAGTGATTGGGTGAATATGTGAGTGAGTGAGTGAGTGGGTGAATGAGTGGGTAGGTGAGTGGGTGGATGAGTGATTGGGTGAATATGTGAGTGAGTGAGTGAGTGGGTGAATGAGTGGGTAGGCGAGTGGGTGGATGAGTGATTGGGTGAATATGTGAGTGAGTGGGTGAATGAGTGGGTAGGTGAGTGGGTGGATGAGTGATTGGGTGAATATGTGAGTGAGTGAGTGAGTGGGTGAATGAGTGAGTAGGCGAGTGGGTGGATGAGTGATTGGGTGAATATGTGAGTGAGTGAGTGGGTGAATGAGTGAGTGGGTGAATGAGTGAGTGGGTGAGTGAGTGAATAGGTGAGTGAGTAAGTGGGCTTGTGAGTGGTCCATATGTTGAATTTATTTCACACCGTATGTCGCCAACCGTGCTAACTCCAAGTAGTGGGTTAATAAGTGAGTGTGTGGGTTGAGTGAATGAGTGAGTGGGTGAGTGAGTGGCTTTGGTGATGGAGTGAATGAATGAGTCAGTGGGTGGGAGAAGGTGAGTGAGTGAGTGGGTGAGTGAGTGGATTAATGTGTGGTTGGGTAAGTGAATGCACGAACGGGTGAGCGGATTAGTTGGTGAGTGAGTGACACACCGTGTCAACCCACACGGTTTACCCCTAATTCTTGTACAGGGAAACTGAGTTTTCAGGTCCATACGGTGTACAACCGTTTCAATACGGGCACGTTTTGTTTTGTCTATTTGTTTGTGTTTCTCCCTTGTGATGGGACTGTGTAGGATGTACGTTGAGATTTATAAGGGCACGGGGTGACCAATAAGGTCTGAATTGGTCTGTAATAAGTTAGCCACTGATAATGGGTTGACAGATATGAGTGTGTGGATGAGCGTGTAGGTGACTGGGTGAGTGAGTGGATGGTGAGTGTGTGGGGAAGTGGGTGAGCGAGTGGGTGAGCGAGTGTGTGAGTGAGTGTGTGGGGAAGTGGGTGAGTGAGTGGGTGAGTGAGTGTGTAGGGAAGTGGGTGAGTGAGTGGGTGAGTGAGTGTGTGGGGAAGTGGGTGAGTGAGTGGGTGAGCGAGTGGGTGAGTGAGTGGGTGAGTGAGTGAGTGTGTGGGGAAGTGGGTGAGCGAGTGTGTGGGGAAGTGGGTGAGTGAGTGGGTCAGTGAGTGGGTGAGTGAGTGGGTGAGTGAGTGTGTGGGGAAGTGGGTGAGTGAGTGGGTGAGTGAGTGGGTGAGTGAGTTGGTGAGCAAGTGTGTGGGGAAGTGTGTGGGGAAGTGTGTGAGTGAGTGGGTGAGTGAGTGAGTGGGTGAGCGAGTGAGTGGGTGAGTGAGCGAGTGGGTGAGTGAGTGGGTGAGTGAGTGAGTGAGTGTGTGAGTGAGCGAGTGGGTGAGCGAGCGAGTGGGTGAGCAAGTGTGTGTATGTCTCTATGGGCATGGTGCAGGCCACACCACCACCTCGTGCGCCGTGCCGGCCTTCATAGACGCTGCTCGCTTACAGCACTTGCCCTCAGAGTCTGTTCAGGTTATACGGGTGGCCTTTGTCTTTAATTTTGTGTTGGCGCTATCAGTGTCTGCGCATCAGCGCCGATTGTTTAATGTTCGGCCGTGAATGCTGTTTCCAGTAAACATCAACACTCGGGAGACAAAGGCGGCCGGGCGTGGCGCTGGTCACCCGGCCCTTCGTGTGTGCCGTGCCGGCCTTCATAGGCGCTGCTTGCTGTAAACAGCACTTGCCCCAACAGTCTGTCGCGGCTACACGGGGGATCTTTGTCTTTGCGCGTGAGTGTAACCTGTACGCGCGTGTCTCTCCGCGTAGGTCTGGACTTTGCTGTGAAATTCAACAACTCCACACCGGTACGTGCACACGCGCGCACACACGCACACGCGCACACACGCACACACGCGCGCGCACACGCGCACACACGCACGCACACGCACGCACACGCACGCACACGCGCACACACGCGCACACGCGCGCACGCATAACCCGCATTACAAAGACGCACTGACACAGAGGCACAGGTCCCCCATGTAGCCTTTGACAGGTTGTTGGGGCAAGTGCACGCAGAGTGACCAGCAAAACCCCGCGTCGCGAACAACGACACGGCACCGTTCAGTGCCACCCAATGTCACACACTGCCACCACGGCGGGTGAGTGGTGGGTGAGTGGTGGGCGAGCGGCGGGTGAGCGGGTGGGCAGGGTGAGTGGTGAGCGGCGGGTGATCGGTGAGCGGCGGGTGAGCAGTGAGTGGTGGGTGAACGGTGGGTGAGCGGTGGGCGGGGTGAGCGGTGAGTGGTGGGTGAGTGGCGGGTGAGCGGGTGGGCGGGGTGAGCGGTGAGTGGTGGGTGAGCGGCGGGTGAGCGGGTGAGCGGTGAGTGGTGGGTGAGCGGGTGGTCAGGGTGAGCGGGTGGGCGGTGGTGAGTGGTGGGCGGGGTGAGCGGTGAGTGGTGGGTGAGTGGCGGGTGAGCGGGTGGTCAGGGTGAGCGGGTGGGCGGGGTGAGCGGTGGGCGGGGTGAGCGGTGAGTGGTGGGTGAGTGGCGGGTGAAGCGGGTGGGCGGGGTGAGCGGTGAGTGGTGGGTGAGCGGCGGGTGAGCGGGTGAGCGGTGAGTGGTGGGTGAGCGGGTGGTCAGGGTGAGCGGGTGGGCGGGGTGAGCGAGTGTGTTGGTGTCGCTGCTCCGTGACTGCCTGTCAAGGTCTCCTTGCCTCTGGCTGCTGCTGCCGCTGCCGCTGCGTGTGGGGTGTGTGGGGGGTGTGTGGGGGGTGGGGGAGAGACGGCGATCTGGGTGGTGGTGGTGCACGGAGGGGAGCACCACCTACAGCCGGGCCGAGCCGGGCCCGGGCGGGAGAGAGGCGTGTTTACGTCAACAGCCACCACCCCTCCCCCCCCACACACAGGCACATGCAGCCCCCCCACACCCACCCCTCCCCACACACACACACACAGGCACATGCAGCCCCCACACACCCACCCCTCCTCCCATCCCCCCACCCACACCCCCACCCCTCCTCCCTCCTGCCCCCCCCACACCCACTCCTCCCCCCCACACCCCCCCCCCCACTCCTCCTCCCCCCCTCCAACCCCCTCTCCCCCCTCCCCACAACCCACCCCCCTCCCACCTTCCCCCCCCACACCCACCCCTCCTCCCCCCTGCCCCACCCACACTCCCCTCCCACCTGCCCCACCCACTCCTGCCCCCCACACCCCCCCCTCTCCTCCTTCCCCCCTCCAACCCCCTCTCCCCCCTCCCCACCCCTCCCTCCCACCCCCTCCCACCTTCGCACACCTCAGCATTCCTGCGTCAACAAAGTTCAATCTTTTGACTCAGGGCCTGGCCCTGCCAAGGGCTGAACTCCCGCTCTGCGTCTCCATGTGTAGGGGGCACGCCCAGTGGCAGCTGCCCCTGTGCGGCACGAGATGACTAGGCACCTGGCCTTGCCGAGGGCTGAACTCCCCTCTGCGTCTCCACGTGTAGGGGGCACGCCCAGTGGCAGCTGCCCCTGTGCGGCACGAGATGACTAGGCGCCTGGCCTTGCCGAGGGCTGAACTCCCGCTCTGCGTCTCCATGTGTAGGGGGCACGCCCAGTGGCAGCTGCCCCTGTGCGGCACGAGATGACTAGGCACCTGGCCTTGCCGAGGGCTGAACTCCCCTCTGCGTCTCCATGTGTAGGGGGCACGCCCAGTGGCAGCTGCCCCTGTGCAGCACGAGATGACTAGGCGCCTGGCCCTGCCAAGGGCTGAACTCCCGCTCTGCGTCTCCATGTGTAGGGGGCACGCCCAGTGGCAGCTGCCCCTGTGCAGCACGAGATGACTCGGGGCCTGGCCTTGCCAAGGGCTGAACTCCCGCTCTGCGTCTCCATGTGTAGGGGGCACGCCCAGTGGCAGCTGCCCCTGTGCGGCACGAGATGACTAGGCACCTGGCCTTGCCAAGGGCTGGACTCCCGCTCTGCGTCTCCACGTGTAGGGGGCACGCCCAGTGGCAGCTGCCCCTGTGCGGCACGAGATGACTAGGCACCTGGCCTTGCCAAGGGCTGAACTCCCGCTCTGCGTCTTCATGTGTAGGGGGCACGCCCGGTGGCAGCTGCCCCTGTGCGGCACGAGATGACTAGGCACCTGGCCTTGCCAAGGGCTGAACTCCCGCTCTGCGTCTTCATGTGTAGGGGGCACGCCCAGTGGCAGCTGCCCCTGTGCGGCACGAGATGACTAGGCACCTGGCCTTGCCAAGGGCTGAACTCCCGCTCTGCGTCTTCATGTGTAGGGGGCACGCCCAGTGGCAGCTGCCCCTGTGCGGCACGAGATGACTAGGCACCTGGCCCTGCCAAGGGCTGGACTCCCGCTCTGCGTCTTCATGTGTAGGGGGCACGCCCAGTGGCAGCTGCCCCTGTGCGGCACGAGATGACTAGGAACCTGGCCCTGCCAAGGGCTGAACTCCCGCTCTGCGTCTCCATGTGTAGGGGGCACGCCCAGTGGCAGCTGCCCCTGTGCGGCACGAGATGACTAGGCACCTGGCCCTGCCAAGGGCTGAACTCCCGCTCTGCGTCTCCATGTGTAGGGGGCACGCCCAGTGGCAGCTGCCCCTGTGCGGCACGAGATGACTAGGCACCTGGCCCTGCCAAGGGCTGGACTCCCGCTCTGCGTCTTCATGTGTAGGGGGCACGCCCAGTGGCAGCTGCCCCTGTGCAGCACGAGATGACTAGGCACCTGGCCCTGCCAAGGGCTGAACTCCCGCTCTGCGTCTTCATGTGTAGGGGGCACGCCCAGTGGCAGCTGCCCCTGTGCGGCACGAGATGACTAGGCACCTGGCCCTGCCAAGGGCTGAACTCCCGCTCTGCGTCTCCATGTGTAGGGGGCACGCCCAGTGGCAGCTGCCCCTGTGCGGCACGAGATGACTAGGCACCTGGCCCTGCCAAGGGCTGAACTCCCGCTCTGCATCTGTCTCCGTGTGTCAATACCAACATCTGTTTCGTGGCCATCCAGCCCGGCTACTCCCCGCACCGCTGTTACGCAGCGGTGTTTGATTCAGAAAGCACAAAGCTCTGGAGCAGTTTCGGGGGAATTTTCGATTTAAAGTTTTCGTGACTGCAGGGATTCATCTTCTTGGTTCTTTCGGTAAAGTCATCACGTAGAAGGGAAATAATAAAATAATAATGCACGGGCAAAACATGACTTTAAACCCCTCGCCAAACCTCCTACGCATTTCACAAGTAGTACTAATCGCATATCTGCATTTCTCCAAAAATATGCAAAAATTCCTCTTGATATGCAAATTATTTTGTCAAGGCGCTCTTCCTCCTCCCTCCCAGCTTAAATAGACGCTCCAAGCCTGGGGTGTGTCATTCAGACTCTGTCGTCTCGACAGACCTGCTCTTCACCTGAGGACGGCTGCTTGCGTTGTGGCCGAAACGTCGTGAGAATTATTTTATTATGTTTTATTTTTATGATTTTATTACTTCCCTTCTACGTGACTTTACCGAAAGAACCAAGAAGACTGTTTCGGGGGCTTTGTGACTCTCATCAGCGGTGTCGGGCACGTTGGAGGGACCTTGTTGGGTTAGAGCATCATTGCGAACCCCCTGAATGAGAGCGAGAGAGACACCCAGACCCGGGGAACCTATTCATCTCGGTAGTGCTGGGTCAGCGTCTCCGACAAGGTCGTTATGAACCCTCGTTAGAGATAGTGAAAGACACCCAGACCCAGGTCTCGAACATCATCTTCATTTTGCCAGCTCAGTGTCTCTGACACGGCCATTATGAACCCTCTTAGAGATAGTGAAAAACACCCAGACCCAGGGCTCGAACCCTAGCATCTCAGTTCTGCCAGTTCAATGTCTCCGACACGTCCATTATGAACCCTCTTAGAGATAGTGAAAGACATCCAGACTCAGGTCTCGAACCCTCGCATCTCAGTTTTGCCAGCTCAGTGTCTCTGACACAGCCATTATGAACCCTCTTAGAGATAGTGAAAGACATCCAGACTCAGGTCTCGAAACCTAGCATCTCAGTTCTGCCAGCTCAGTGTCTCTGACACGGCCATTATGAACCCTCTTAGAGAGCGTGAAAGACACCCAGACCCAGGTCTCGAACCCTAGCATCTCAGTTCTGCCAGCTCACTGTCTCTGACACGGCCATTATGAACCCTCTTAGAGATAGTGAAAGACACCCAGACCCAGGTCTCGAACATAATCTTTCATTTTGCCAGCTCAGTGTCTCTGACACGGCCATCTGCGAATAGTCGCTTGCGGTTATTAGGAAGCCGTTTGCGCAACGGGGGTGGGGGGGGGGGCGGTGTTGTAAAACGAGACACGAGGTTTCCTCCTGCTGATGTGAAACTTCTGTCCTGAGTCCAGGTACCACGTGACTCTTTGCCAGGATGATCAGGTTATTAATTAACCTGACGGTTATTGGTGAGTGATTTTTTAAAAACTCACCGGGGGCAGATGTTGTCATGGTGGTGGTGTTGGCCGGGAGCAGTGGCGCAGCGGTTAAAGTCGTGCCGCGCTTTGGAACCGGCGGCCACCACGAACGCCGGTCCTGGGCCTCCCCTAGGTCGTCTTGGCCTCAAATGAGTAACCTGGTGTGGCGGTGTTTAGTAAACATCGCCACTGGGGAGACAAAGGTGGTCGGGCGTGGTGCTGGCCACCCACCCCCTCGTGTGCCGTGCCGGCCTTCATAGGTGCTGCTACTCGCTAACAGCACTTGCCAATACAGTCTGTGAAGGCTACACGGGGAATGTTTGTGGTGGTGGTGGTTGGTGGTTGTGGTGAGGGTGGTGGGGATGGTGGTGGTGAGGGTGGTGGTAGTGTTGAGGGTGGTGGTATGAGGGTGAGGGTGGTGATGGTGGTGGTGTCAGTGGTGGTAAGGGTGGTGGTAAGGGTGGTGTTGAGGGTGGTGGTGAGGGTGGTGGTATTAGTGGTGGTGCTAGTGGTGGTATCGGTGGTGGTATTAGTGGTGGTGCTAGTGGTGGTATCGGTGGTGATAAGGGTGATGCTGTCGGTGGTGATTAGGGTAGTATCGGTGGTGATGATGGTGGTGAGGGTGATGGTGATGGTGGTGGTATCAGTGGTAGTATCGGTGGTGGTGGTGGTGGTAATGAGAGTGGTGATGATAGTAGTGGTGTTGGTGGTGGCGAGGGTGATGAGGGTGGTGAGGGTGGTGAGAGTAGTGGTGCTAGTGGTGGTGAGGGTGGTGAGGGTGGTGGTGTCGGTGGCGAGGGTGGTGGTGCTAGTGGTGGTGTTGGTGGTGGCGAGGGTGGTGAGGGTGGTGTTGGTGGTGGTGAGGGTGATGAGGGTGGTGAGGGTGGTGAGGGTGATGAGAGTGGTGGTGTTGGTGGTGGTGGCGAGGGTGGTGAGGGTGGTGGCGAGGGTGATGAGGGTGGTTAGGGTGGTGATGGTGGTGGTGTCGGTGGCGAGGGTGGTGTTGGTGGCGGCGAGGGTGATGATGGTGGCGAGGGTGGTGATGGTGGCGGCGAGGGTGATGATGGTGGCGAGGGTGGTGATGGTGGTGGCGAGGGTGGTGGATGGTAGTGAGGGTGGCGAGGGTGGTGAGGGTGGTGTTGGTGGTGGCGAGGGTGGTGAGGGTGGTGGTGGCGAGGGTGATGAGAGTGGTGTTGGTGGTGTTGGTGGTGGCGAGGGTGATGATGGTGGCGAGGGTGGTGTTGGTGGCGAGGGTGGTGTTGGTGGCGGCGAGGGTGATGATGGTGGCGAGGGTGGTGATGGTGGCGAGGGTGGTGTTGGTGGCGGCGAGGGTGATGATGGTGGCGAGGGTGGTGATGGTGGCGAGGGTGGTGTTGGTGGTGGCGAGGGTGATGATGGTGGTTAGGGTGGTGATGGTGGCGGCGAGGGTGATGATGGTGGCGAGGGTGGTGATGGTGGCGAGGGTGGTGTTGGTGGCGGCGAGGGTGATGATGGTGGCGAGGGTGGTGATGGTGGCGAGGGTGGTGTTGGTGGTGGCGAGGGTGGTGATGGTGGTTAGGGTGGTGATGGTGGCGGCGAGGGTGATGATGGTGGCGAGGGTGGTGATGGTGGCGGCGAGGGTGGTGGATGGTAGTGAGGGTGGCGAGGGTGGTGAGGGTGGTGTTGGTGGTGGCGAGGGTGGTGAGGGTGGTGGTGGCGAGGGTGATGAGAGTGGTGTTGGTGGTGTTGGTGGTGGCGAGGGTGATGATGGTGGTGGCGCTGACGAGGTTGTTGATGCGGGTGCCTTGCAGGGAACCTGCCGCTACCGCCATGGACTTCTCGAAGCTGGCCAAGATCCGCGACGAGGAGAAGGAGAGCGCCTACGGGTTCGTGTACGCCGTGTCCGGCCCCGGTGAGCACCACAACCACCACAACCAAACCACCGCGGCAACCACAACAACCAGCACAACTATAACAACAACCACCACAACCACAACAACAACCACCACCACCACAGCTATAACAACAACCACCACAACTATAACAACAACCACAACAACCAAACCACCACGGCAACCGCAACAACAACCACCAAAACAACCACCACAACTACAACAACAACCACCAAAACAACCACCACAACTACAACAACAACCACAACCCAACCACCACAACAACAACCACCACCACAACTATAACAACCACAACCACCACAACCTAACCAGCATAATAACCACAACAACCCAACCACCACAACAATAACCACCACCACCACAACTATAACAACAACCACAACCCAACCACCACAACCCAACCACCACAGCTATAACAACCACCACAACCCAACCACCATAATAACCACAACAACCACCACCACAACAACAACCACCACCACCACAACCCAACCACCACAGCTATAACCACGATAATAACAACCACAACAACCACAACAACCACTGATCACAGGGGTGGAAGGGAGGGGTCAGGATTGGTTCACACACCATTCACCTTGACCCCCCCCCCTCTGTGCCCCTCCCCATGCCCCCCCCCCCCGTGCCCTCCCTCCCCATGCCCCCCCTCATGCCCCGTGCCCCCCCCCATGCCCCCCCCCCCCCTCGCCCAGTGGTGACTGCGTCGAGTATGTCTGGAGCGGCGATGTACGAGTTGGTGCGCGTGGGGCACAGCGAGCTGGTGGGGGAGATCATCCGCCTGGAGGGGGAGATGGCCACCATACAGGTGTACGAGGAGACCTGTATCCTCTCTTACGCCACGCACACACGCACACGTGCACACGCGCACGTGCACACACACACGCACACACGCACACGTGCACACACGCACGTGCACGCACGCACACACACGTACACCCACGCACGCGTACGTACGTACACGCACGCACACGCACGTACACGCACGTACACGCACGTGCACGTACACGCACGTACACGCACGTACACACGTACACGCACGTACACGCACGTACACACGCACACGTGCACACACGCACGCGCACGCACACACACACACGTACACCCACGCACGCGCACGTACGTACACGCACGCGCACGCACGTACACGCACGTACACGCACGTACACGCACGTACACGCACGTACACGCACGTACACGCACGTACACACACGCACGTACACACGCGCGTACACGCACGTACACGCACGTACACGCACACGTACACACATGCACGTACACACACGTGCACGCACGTACACACACGTACACACACGTACATATACGTTCTGGTTGTTGTCGTTGCGGTTGTTGTTTTTGCAGGTTTTGTTGTCGTTGCGGTTGTTGTTGTCGTTGCGGTTGTTACGGTAGTTGTTGTTGTTGTCGTTGTGGTTGTTTTCGTTGCGGTTGTTGGGGTTGTTGTCGTTGTTGTTGGGGTTGTTGTTGTCGTTGTGGTTGTTGTCGTTGCGGTTGTTGGGGTTGTTGTCGTTGTGGTTGTTGTGGTTGTTGTGGTTGAGGTTGTTGTTGGGGTTGTTGTCGTCATTGTTGTTGTCGTTGCGGTTGTTACGGTAGTCGTTGTGGTTGTTGTTGTGGTTGTTGTTGTCGTCGCGGTTGTTGTCGTTGTGGTTGTTGTTGTCGTGCAGTTGTTGCCGTGGTTGCGGTTGTCGTCGCCGCGGTTGTTGCCGTGGTCGCGGTTGTTGCCGTGGTTGCGGTTGTCGTCGCCGCGGTTGTTGCCGTGGTCGCGGTTGTCGCCGTGGTTGCGGTTGTTGTCGCCGCGGTTGTTGCCGTGGTCGCGGTTGTCGCCGTGGTTGCGGTTGTCGTCGCCGCGGTTGTTGCCGTGGTCGCGGTTGTTGCCGTGGTTGTGGTTGTCGTCGCCGCGGTTGTTGCCGTGGTCGCGGTTGTTGCCGTGGTTGCGGTTGTCGTCGCCGCGGTTGTGCCCTTGACGGCGCTGGCAGCGGGCGTGACGGTGGGCGACCCGGTGTTGCGCACGGGCAAGCCGCTCTCCGTGGAGCTGGGCCCCGGGGTCATGAACTCGATCTTCGACGGCATCCAGCGGCCCCTGCAGGACATCGCCGAGCTGAGCAAGAGCATCTACATCCCCCGCGGAGTGAACGTCAGCGCACTCAGCGCAGACAAGAAGTGGGAGTTCAAGCCCGAGAAGAACATGCGGGTGGGTGGGTGGGTGGGTGGGTGAAGGAGTTGGTGGGTGGGTGGGTGAGTGGGTGGGTGGGTGGGTGGGTGAGTGGGTGGGTGGGTGAGAGAGTGGCTGAGTGAGTGGGTGGGTGGGTGGGTGAGTGGGTGGGTGGGTGAGTGGGTGGCATCTACATCCCCCGCGGAGTGAACGTCAGCGCACTCAGCGCAGACAAGAAGTGGGAGTTCAAGCCCGAGAAGAACATGCGGGTGGGTGGGTGGGTGGGTGGGTGAAGGAGTTGGTGGGTGGGTGGGTGAGTGGGTGGGTGGGTGGGTGAGTGGGTGGGTGGGTGAGAGAGTGGCTGAGTGAGTGGGTGGGTGGGTGGGTGAGTGGGTGGGTGGGTGAGTGGGTGGCATCTACATCCCCCGCGGAGTGAACGTCAGCGCACTCAGCGCAGACAAGAAGTGGGAGTTCAAGCCCGAGAAGAACATGCGGGTGGGTGGGTGGGTGGGTGGGTGAAGGAGTTGGTGGGTGGGTGGGTGAGTGGGTGGGTGGGTGGGTGGGTGAGTGGGTGGGTGGGTGAGAGAGTGGCTGAGTGAGTGGGTGGGTGGGTGGGTGAGTGGGTGGGAGGGTGAGGGGGTGGCATCTACATCCCCCGCGGAGTGAACGTCAGCGCACTCAGCGCAGACAAGAAGTGGGAGTTCAAGCCCGAGAAGAACATGCGGGTGGGTGGGTGAAGGAGTTGGTGGGTGGATGAGTGGGTGAGTGAGTGGGTGGGTGGGTGAGTGAGTGGGTGGGTGAGTGAGTGGGTGGGTGGGTGGGTGGGTGGGTGGGTGGGTGAGTGAGTGAGTGGGTGGGTGGGTGGGTGGGTGAGTGGGTGGTGGGTGAGTGAGTGAGTGAGTGAGTGGGGGTGAGTGAGTGGGTGGGTGAGTGAGTGGGTGGGTAGTGGATGGGCGGGTGAGTGAGTGGGTGGGTGAGTGAGTGGGTGGGTGAGTGAGTGGGTGGGTGAGTGAGTGGGTGGGTGAGTGAGTGAGTGGGTGGGTGAGTGAGTGGGTGGGTGAGTGGGTGGGCGGGTGAATGGGTGGGCGGGTGAGTGAGTGGGTGGGTGGGCGGGTGGATGAGTGGGTGAGTGAGTGGGAGAGTGGGTGGGTGAGCGGGCACGATAATTTGAACCGATCCTGGGCCTCCCCTATGAGTACCTGGTGCGGTGTGTAGTAAACATCGTCACTGAGGGAGACAAAGGCGGCCGGGCGTGGTGTTGGCCACGCACCCCCTCGTGTGCCGTGCCGGCCTTTATAGGTGCTCGCTAACAGCACTTGCCCCTACAGTCTGTTAAGGCTACACGGGGAATGTTTGTGGTGATATTGGTAGTGGTGGTTGTGGTGGTATTGGTGGTTGTGGTGAGGGTGGTGGGGATGGTGGTGTTGAGGGTGGTGGTATCGATGGTGGTGAGGGTGGTGGTATCGATGGTGGGGAGGGTGTTGAGGGTGGTGGAGATGGTCTGTTACAGGCAACACGGGGGACCTTTATCTGTGCGTGTCCTTGTGTGTGCGCGTGTGTGCGTGTGTGTGCGTGTGTGTGCGTGTGTGCGTGTGTGCGTGTGTGCGTGTGTGTGTACGCGTGTGTGCGTGTTTGCGTGTGTACGTGTGTGTGTGCGTGTGTGTGTGTACGTGTGTGCGTGCGCGTGCGCGTGTGTGCGTGCGTGTGTGTGTGTGTGCGCGTGTGTGCAGGTGGGAGGTCACCTGACCGGGGGCGACATCTACGCCGTGGTGTTTGAGAACTCGCTCATCAAGCACCGGCTCATGGTGCCGCCTCGAGCTCGCGGCACCGTCAGCTACATCGCCCCCGCCGGCTCCTACGACACCTCCGTGAGACGCACATACACACATACACACACACGTACACACACACGCGCAGACACGCACACGCACACACGCAGGGACACACGCACGTGCACACACACGCACAAACACACAGGCACACACACACACATACACACGCGCAGACACACACGCACAGACACACGCACGCAGACACACACACGCAGACACACACACGCGCAGACACGCAGGGACACACACGCACGTGCACACACACGCACAAACACACGGGCACACACACATGCACAGATACACACACACAGAGACAAAGATCCCCCGCCTTCACAGATTTTGGGGAAAAGGGGTTCATTGGCCTTTCCTCGCCTCCCCTCTACCCCCCATGCCCCCCCCCTTCTCCCCACTGTATCCCCTCCCCCACTCCCCCCACTTCGTATCCCCCCCACCCCCCCCCATCCCCTCCCCCACCACCCCCCCACTACCCCCCCACTACTCCCCCACTACTCCATATCCCCCTCCTCCACTACCCCCCCCTCTCCCCCCATCCCCTCCCCCACCACCCCCCCACTACCCCCCCACTACTCCCCCACTACTCCGTATCCCCCCCTCCCCCACTACCCCCCCACTACCCCCCACACCCCCACTCCGTACCCCCCCCGCCCCCCCGCCCCCCCCCCGCTGTGTGCAGGACGTGGTGCTGGAGCTGGAGTTTGAGGGCGTCAAGGAGAAGCACACGATGGTGCAGGTGTGGCCCGTGCGCCAGGTGCGCCCCGTCGCCGAGAAGCTGCCCGCCAACAACCCCCTGCTCACCGGGCAGCGCGTGCTGGACGCACTCTTCCCGTACGCTCGCTCACCCGCTCGCACGCTCGCTCGCACGCTCTCGCACGCTCGCTCACACGCTCGCTCACCCGCACGCTCGCTCACACGCTCGCTCGCTCACACGCTCCCTCGCTCACACGCTCCCTCGCTCACCCGCACGCTCGCTCACACGCTCGCTCGCTCAGCTGCTCGCTCACACGCTCGCTCACACGCTCGCTCGCTCACACGCTCCCTCGCTCACACGCTCCCTCGCTCACACGCTCCCTCGCTCACACGCTCGCTTGCTCACACGCTCGCTCGCACGCTCGCTCAGCCGCTCGCTCACCCGCTCACTCACACGCTCGCTCACACGCTCCCTCGCTCACACGCTCGCTCAGCCGCTCGCTGACCCGCTCACTCGCACGCTCGCTCACACGCTCCCTCACTCACACGCTCGCTCGCATGCTCGCTCGCACGCTCGCTCACGCTCCCTCGCTCACACGCTCGCTCAGCCGCTCGCTCGCATGCTCGCTCGCACGCTCGCTTGCTCGCTCACCACTCGTCGCCCATAGTCACCCATAGATGTGGTGGTTGATGTAATGGATGTGGTTGTTGCAGTGGTGATTACGGTGGTGGTGATGGTGGTTTTGGTTGTTGTGGCTGATGCAATGGTGGTTGATGTAATGGTTGTGGTGGGTCATGTGTTGGTATTGGTGGTTGGTGTAAAGGTTGTTGTGGTTGGTGGCGGTGGTCGTGGTGGTTTTGGTTGTGGTGGCTGATGCAATGGTGGTTGATGTAATGGTTGTGGTGGTTGATGCAATGGTGGTTGATGTAATGGTTGTGGTGGTTGATGCAATGGTGGTTGATGTAATGGTTGTGGTGGTTGATGCAATGGTGGTTGATGTAATGGTTGTGGTGGCTGATGCAATGGTGGCTGATGTAACGGTTGTTGTGGCTGGTGGCGGTGGTTGTGGTTGTGGTGGTGGCGGTGACGGTGTCAGCTGCGTGCAGGGCGGCACCACGGCGATCCCCGGCGCGTTTGGCTGCGGTAAGACGGTGATCTCTCAGTCGCTCTCCAAGTTCTCCAACAGCGACGTCATCATCTACGTGGGCTGCGGCGAGCGCGGAAACGAGATGTCCGAGGTGCTGCGAGACTTCCCCGAGGTGAGCGGCGGTCCGGTGGGGTTCACCGCGGCACGGTCGGTGAGGTTCACCGCGGCACAGTCGGTGAGGTTCACTGTGGCACGGTCGGTGAGGTTCACCGTGGCACGGGTCGGTGGGGTTCACCGCGGCACGGTCGGTGAGGTTCACCGCGGCACGGTCGGTGAGGTTCACTGTGGCACGGTCGGTGAGGTTCACCGTGGCACGGGTCGGTGGGGTTCACCGCGGCACGGTCGGTGAGGTTCACCGCGGCACGGTCGGTGAGGTTCACCGTGGCACGGGTCGGTGGGGTTCACCGTGGCCGGGTCGGTGGGGTTCACCGCAGCACGGTCGGTGAGGTTCACCGTGGCACGGTCGGTGAGGTTCACCGCGGCACGGTCGGTGAGGTTCACCGCGGCACGGTCGGTGAGGTTCACTGTGGCACGGTCGGTGAGGTTCACCGTGGCACGGGTCGGTGGGGTTCACCGCGGCACGGTCGGTGAGGTTCACCGCGGCACGGTCGGTGAGGTTCACTGTGGCACGGTCGGTGAGGTTCACCGTGGCACGGGTCGGTGGGGTTCACCGTGGCCGGGTCGGTGGGGTTCACCGCAGCACGGTCGGTGAGGTTCACCGTGGCACGGTCGGTGAGGTTCACCGCGGCACGGTCGGTGAGGTTCACCGCGGCACGGTCGGGGAGGTTCACTGTGGCACGGTCGGTGAGGTTCACCGTGGCACGGGTCGGTGGGGTTCACCGCGGCACGGTCGGTGAGGTTCACCGCGGCACGGTCGGTGAGGTTCACTGTGGCACGGTCGGTGAGGTTCACCGTGGCACGGGTCGGTGGGGTTCACCGCGGCACGGTCGGTGAGGTTCACCGCGGCACGGTCGGTGAGGTTCACCGTGGCACGGGTCGGTGGGGTTCACCGTGGCCGGGTCGGTGGGGTTCACCGCAGCACGGTCGGTGAGGTTCACCGTGGCACGGTCGGTGAGGTTCACCGTGGCACGGTCGGTGAGGTTCACCGCGGCACGGTCGGTGAGGTTCACCGTGGCACGGTCGGTGAGGTTCACCGCGGCACGGTCGGTGAGGTTCACCGTGGCACGGGTCGGTGGGGTTCACCGTGGCACGGTCGGTGGGGTTCACCGTGGCACGGTCGGTGGGGTTCACCGCGGCACGGTCGGTGGGGTTCACCGCGGCACGGTCGGTGGGGTTCACCGTGGCACGGTCGGTGGGGTTCACCGTGGCACGGTCGGTGGGGTTCACCGTGGCACGGTCGGTGTGTTTCACCGCGGCACGGTCGGTGGGGTTCACCGTGGCACGGTCGGTGGGGTTCACCGTGGCACGGTCGGTGGGGTTCACCGTGGCACGGTCGGTGGGGTTTACCGTGGCACGGTCGGTGAGGTTCACCGTGGCCGGAGGTCGGTGGTTCCGTCATGGCCGTCTTAGACGCTCGCAATGGCCGGGTCGGTGGTTTGGTTCATCACAGCGACACTGCAGAGATGCAATGATGACTGATGATGACGGTGGTGCTGATGACAGTGATGATGATGGTAGTGCTGATGATGACGACGAAGATGGTAGTGCTGATGATGACCATGCTAGCGATGATAGTGATGATGGTAGCGCTGATGATGACCGTGCTAGTGATGATGGTAGTGCTGATGATGATGGCCACGGTAGCGATGCTAGTGATGATGCTGATGATGATGACCATGGTAGCGATGCTAGTGATGATGATGATGACGATGATGATGACCACGGTAGCGATGATAGTGATGATGATGATGTTGATGATGATGTTGATGATGACCACGGTAGCGATGCTAGTGACGATGGTAGTGATGATGACGACGAAGATGGTAGTGCTGTTGATGACCATGCTAGCGATGATAGTGATGATGGTAGCGCTGATGATGACCGTGCTAGTGATGATAGTGATGATGGTAGCGCTGATGATGACCGTGCTAGTGATGATGGTAGTGCTGATGATGATGACCATGGTTGCGATGCCAGCGATGACGACAGTGCCGATGATGACCATGGTAGTGCTGCTGATGATGATGATGATGACGATGGTAGCGCTGATGATGACGGTGGTAGTGCTGACGACGACGATGATGTTGTTGCCGTAGTTGACCATGGTAGCGATGATAGTGATGACGACAGTGCCGATGATGACCATGGCAGTGCTGATGATGATGATGACGATGGTAGCGCTGATGATGACAGTGGTAGTGCTGACGACGACGACGATGACGATGTTGTTGCCGTAGTTGACCATGGTAGCGATGCTAGTGATGACGACAGTGCCGATGATGATGACCATGGCAGTGCTGATGATGATGATGACAGTGGTAGTGCTGAGGACGATGATGACGTTGTTGTTGTTGTTGTTGCCGTAGTTGACCATGGAGGTGGACGGCAAGGAGGAGTCGATCATGAAGAGGACGGCGCTGGTGGCCAACACGTCCAACATGCCGGTCGCGGCGCGAGAGGCCTCCATCTACACCGGTGAGACGCTCGCACAAAGGTGCCCTGGGTAGCCTTCACCAGACCGCCGGGGCAAGTGCTGTTAACCAAGCAGCACCTTCCATGACCGTCTGTGTCTCCGTGTCTGCGTGTGTCTGTGTGTGTGTGTCCGTGTGTCTGCGTGTGTCTCCGTGTGTGTCCGTGTGTGTGTGTGTCTCCGTGTGTCTGCGTGTGTCTTCGTGTGCCTCCGTGTGTTTGCGTGTGTCTCCGTGTGTGTCTGCGTGTGTCTCCGTGTGTGTCCGTGTGTCTCCGTGTGTCTGCGTGTGTCTACGTGTGTGTCCGTGTGTTTGTCCGTGTGTCTCCGTGTGTCTCCGTGTGTCTGCGTGTGTCTTCGTGCGTAGGCTTCACTCTGTCCGAGTATTTCCTGACTGAGTGTCTCTGTGTCTGCGTGTGTCTGCGTGTGTGTCCCCGTGTGTGTCTCCGTGTGTGTCTGCGTGTGTCTGCGTGTGTCTCCGTGTGTGTCCGTGTGTAGGCATCACTCTGTCCGAGTATTTCCTGACTGAGTGTTTCCGTGTGTGTCCGTGTGTCTGCGTGTGTCTCCGTGTGTCTGCGTGTGTGTGCGTGCGTAGGCATCACGCTGTCCGAGTATTTCCGTGACATGGGCTACAACGTGAGCATGATGGCCGACTCCACGTCCCGCTGGGCTGAAGCCTTGAGGGAGATTTCGGGACGACTCGCAGAGATGCCTGCCGGTGACGCACGCACACGCACACACACACGCACACACACGCACACACACACTCACACACACGCACACAAACGCACACGTAAACACGCACACACGCAAACACACACACGCACACACACGTAAACACACACAAACACACATACACACACGTAAACACGCAAACACACGCACGCACACGCACACACACTCACACACACGCACACACACGTAAACACACACGCACGTAAACACGCACACACACGCAAGCACACGCACGTAAACACGCACACACACACACACGCACGTAAACACGCACACACGCACACGCACGTAAACACGCACACACACACACGTAAACACATACACACACGCACGCACACACACACGCAAACACACGCACACACACGCACACGCAAACACACACACGTAAACACATACACACACTCGCACACACACACGCAAACGCACACGCACACACATGCAAAAAACACACACGCAAACACATACACGCACACGCACGCGCAAGCACACACGAAAAACGCAAACACACACGCAAACACACACTCGTAAACACACACACACTGACTGCGGGAATCGAACTAGGTTCGCCAGGTTCGTAGCGCAGCGTAGCGCCAACCACTGCACCACCGCTCCCCAACCAATGCAAACACTCACTCCCAACAGCTCACTCGAAGCACTTGCCCCAACAGTGTGTTAGAGGCTACACTGGGGGACCTTTGGCTCTGCGTGTGCGAGCAGACAGCGGCTACCCGGCGTACCTGGGTGCCCGTCTCGCCTCCTTCTACGAGCGTGCGGGGCGCGTCAAGTGCCTGGGCAACCCGGAGCGCGAGGGCAGCGTCAGCATCGTGGGAGCGTGAGTGGCACACGCTCGCCCGCACTCACTCGCACTCACTCGCTCTCACTCACACGCTCGCCCACTCGCTCGCTCACACTCACTCACACTCGCTCTCACTCACACGCTCGCCCGCACTCACTCGCACTCACTCGCTCTCACTCACACGCTCGCCCACTCGCTCGCTCACACTCACTCACACTCGCTCTCACTCACACGCTCGCCCGCACTCACTCGCTCTCACTCACACGCTCGCCCACTCGCTCGCTCACACTCACTCACACTCGCTCTCACTCACACGCTCGCTCACTCGCTTGCACTCACTCGCTCGCACTCACTCACCCGCTCGCTCGCTCGCTCACACTCGCTCTCGCTCACACTCGCACGCTCGCACGCTCGCTCACTCACACTCGCTCTCGCTCACACTCACACTCACTCACACACTCGCTCACACTTGCTCACACTCGCTCGCTCACTCTCACTCACTCGCACGCTCGCCCGCTCGCTCACTTACTCTCGCTCACACTCACTCACACTCACACGCTCGCTCGCTCACACTCGCTTACACTCGCACACTCACTAACTCACTCACTCTCGCTCACACTCACTCTCACTCACTCACACTCACTCATACGCTCGCTCACTCACACACTCACACTTGCTCTCACACGCTCGCTCGCTCTCTCATTCACTCACACTCGCTCACTCGTACACTCACGCTCGCTCGCTCGCTCACTCATACACTCTCGCTCACTCACACTCACTCATTCACTCGCTCACTCTCGCTCACTCACTCTCGCTCACTCACTCTCGCTCACTCACTCACGCTCACACTCACTCACTCACACTCATACACACACTCACACTCACTCACACTCACTCACACACTCTCTTGAATCGGGTGCAACCGCAACAAACAAAAAACAAAAACATGAACAAGAAAACATCTTAAAGTGACTATGTGACTAAGCGCAAACAGAAAATCCAAGAAAAGACAGCAAAATATTGCAGAAAAAGCACCGTACACCAACACTGTGTGCAAAAATCCCAGTGGGATGCAAGTCAAACAACAACAACAACAACCACAAGACAACTTAGATTAAAGCCATCAGTCTAACTCCGTACTACAACAAACAAACATGGCCAATCCAATAAACGTTTTCGAAATCACCAAAATAAAGCCATAAAAGCAATGCAACAGCGATCATAGGAACTGTGACCGACATTTCACAATAAGCGACATAAACAACATATACCACCACCAAACCCTGCATCCATAGCTGGCTACATGAGTCACTCCACAACAGCAGACAGACACACACACATGCAACACGCGCTGTACACCTGTGCGTGTGTGTGTGTGTGCGTGTGCAGTGTGTCTCCTCCAGGTGGTGACTTTTCAGACCCTGTCACGTCAGCCACGCTCGGTATCGTCCAGGTACGCACGCGAGTGACTGAGTGCGTGCGCGCTTGTGTAGCGTGGGAGCGGCAGTGCAACGGTTATCGCCCCCGCGCTGCGAACCCGGCGACACGAGTTTGATTCCCGCTGAGCCGTATGCGGCATGGTGTGAGGCCTTACTGCGTGAAGTAAAAAATAGTTTGTTAAGTTGGTACAGTGATCCCTCGTTCATCGCGGTTAATGGGGACCGGAACCCCTCGCGATAGGTGAAAATCCGCGAAGTAGGATTGGCCCCCTAGGAGTTTCCGTCTATGTGTGTGTGGGTACCAGAATATTTAAAATATGTATATTTATATTTTATATATATCTTTTACTTAAATCTATTTAATTATAAAACCTTAATATTATACATTCTCTCTCTCTCATACGATGCGTATTATGGTGTTCTACACTCACCAATGACACTTGACTCCAGTAATGACGACGATGACAATGACGACGATGACAGACCTGTGCAGTTCGATGAATGTGATGATGAATGATGATGATGATGGTGGTGTTACTGCACAGGTATAATGAGGCCTTTAAATCAGTTCGAAAAATCCGCGATGCACTGAGGCCGCGAAACTTGAACCGCGAAGTGGCGAGGGATTACCGTGCTTGGGTTTGCATCGGCCGTACGTGAGAAGGATGATCGAGTGACCAAGTTCAAGTTTCAAGTTCATTGATTAGGTATAGAGCCCTGTGAGCCATTCGGCTCTTGAATCGGGTGCAACCGCAACAAACAACAAACAAAAAAATTCTTAAAGTGACTATACGTGACTGAGTGCAAACAGAAAATTCAAATGAAAGACAGCAAAATATTGCAGAAAAAACACCGTTACACACCAACGCTGTGTGCAGAAATCCTGTGTACCAGGCGAGGTAGTTAACATCTAGCCACCGTGATGATGATGAGAGAGAGAGACACGCAAACTCCAAATATACAGCAGCAGCAGGTGTCAGGGTCGGGATCTGAACCCACGACCTCCTGTAGACCAGGCGAGGTAGTTAACATCTCCTAGCCACCGTGATGATGATGAGAGAGAGAGACACGCAAACTCCAAATATACAGCAGCAGGTGTCAGGGATCTGAACCCACGACCTCCTGTACACCAGGCGAGGTAGTTAACATCTCCTAGCCACCGTGATGATGATGAGAGAGAGACACGCAGACTCCAAATATACAGCGGCAAGCGTCAGAGTCGAGATCAAACCGTTGACCTCCTGCGTACCAGGCGAGGTAGTTAACATCTCCTAGCCACCGTGATGATGATGAGAGAGAGAGAGAGACACGCAAACTCCAAATATACAGCAGCAGGCGTCAGGGTCGGGATCTGAACCCACGACCTCCTGTACACCAGGCGAGGTAGTTAACATCTCCTAGCCACCGTGATGATGATGATGAGAGAGAGACACGCAGACTCCAAATATACAGCAGCAGGCATCAGGGTCGAGATCAAACCGTTGACCTCCTGCGTACCAGGCGAGGTAGTGAACATCTCGCCACCGCGCCAGCCAATGACGTGCCTCCTATACCCCCCCTCACCCCCCTCCCCCACCCCCCCCTCTCGCCCCCTCTCGCCCCCCAGGTGTTCTGGGGTCTGGACAAGAAGCTGGCTCAGCGGAAGCACTTCCCGTCGGTGAACTGGCTCATCAGCTACAGCAAGTACATGCGGGCGCTGGACGAGCACTACGATCGCCACTTCCCCGAGTTTGTGCCGCTGCGCTCCAAGACGCGCGAGATCCTGCAGGAGGAGGAGGACCTGGCCGAGATCGTGCAGCTCGTGGGGAAGGTGAGCGCGCCGTAGCCACCGCACCGTAGCCAACGCACCGTCACACCGTCACACCGCACAGTCACACCGTCACACCGCACAGTTGCACTGTCACACCGCACCGTCACACCGCACAGTTACACCGCACCGTAGCCACCGCACCGTAGCCGCCGCACCGTCACACCGCACAGTCACACCGCACCTTTGCTAGGCCCGACAGTTGCCCATCGACTTGATCCGAGGTTTGTAACCAGGTGAGATGACCCCACCACCAGGGTGGGAGTCTCATTTGCACGAGTGACCTGTGTGTGCGTGCCTGTGTGTGTTCGTGCGTGTTGTGTGTGTGCCTGTGTGTGTTGTGTGTGCTGTGCGTGTGTGTTGTGTGTGTTGGGTGTGCGTTTGTGTGTGGGGCGGTGGTGGCACTACATCCACCACCATCACCACTGCTACTGCCGTCACCACAACCACCTGCAACCACCATTACCACCATCACCACCACCACTAACTACAACTACCACCATCGCCACCGCCACCATCGCCACCACCACCATCACCACCACCACCACTAACTACAACTACCACCATCGCCACCACCACCGTCACCACCACTGCCGCCACCACCGTCACCACCACTGCCACCACCATCACTACCACCACCACTAACTTCAACTGCCACCATCGCCACTGCCGCCGCTGCCACCACCATCACCACCACCGCCGCCGCCATCACCACTGCCACCACCATCACCACCGTCACCACCACCACCGTCACCACCACCACCGCCACCACCGCCACCACCGCCGCCCGCGTCGAGCAGAGCTCCCTGGCGGAGACGGACAAGATCACGCTGGAGGTGGCCAAGCTGATCAAGGACGACTTCCTGCAGCAGAACGGCTACACGCCGTACGATCGCTTCTGCCCCTTCTACAAGACGGTGGGCATGCTCTCCAACATGATCGCCTTCTACGACATGGCGCGCCACGCCGTCGAGACCACGGCGCAGAGCGACAACAAGATCACCTGGGCGGTCATCCGCGAGAACATGAACGAGATCATGTACCGTCTCACCTCCATGAAGTTCAAGGTGCGTTCGTGTGTGTGTCCGTGTGTGTGTGTCCGTGTGTGTGTGTGTGTGTGTCCGTGTGTGCGTGTGTGTCCGTGTGTGTCCATGTGTGTGTGCGTCCGTGTGTGTGTATGTGTGTGTATGTTTGTGTATGTGTGTGTGTGCGTCCGTGTGTGTATGTGTGTGTCCGTGCGTGTGTCCGTGCGTGCGTGTGTGTGTGCGTCCGTGTGCGTGTGTCCGTGTGTGTGTCCGTGCGTGTGTCCGTGCATGCGTGTGTGTCCGTGTGTGTGTCCGTCCGTGTGTGTGTGTCCGTGTGGGGAGCGGTGGTGTAGCGGTTAGCGCTACACTGCGCTATGAACCTGGCGACCCGGGTTCGATTCCCGCTCACGGCCAACACCGGTAACGAGTATCTGAACCTGTCCTGGGCTTCCCCTAGGTCGACTCAGCCTGAAATGATTACCTGGTGCGGTGTGTAAACATCGCCACTGGGGAGACAAAGGCGGCCGGGCGTGGTGCTGGCCACCCACCCCCTCGTGTGCCGTGCGGGCCTTAATATGTGCTCGCTAACAGCACTTGTCCCAACAGGCTTTTCAGGCTATACGGGTGATCTTTGTGGTGAATGTGTGAGTTCGATTTCTCGCTCACAGCCAACACCAGTGATGGTTATTTGAACCGGTCCTGGGCCTCCCCCAGGTCGACTCGGCCTCAAATGAGTACCTGGTGCGGTGTGTAGTAAACATCGCCACTGGGGAGACAAAGGCTGCCTGTTACGGGCTATGCGGGGCATCTTTGTCTTTTGTATGTGTATATCTGTGTGTACACGTGTCTGTGTGTGTTGTACCCGTGTCTATGTGTGTTGTACATGTGTCTGTGTGTGTTGTACACGTGTCTGTGTGTGTTGTACACGTGTGTACAGGCGAGTGAGTGCTGGATGACATTGAGCTCGCCGTGACTGGTCCGTTAAGGCTATACGGGGGATCGTTGTTTTGTCTTTGCAGGACCCACAAGAAGGAGAGGCTAAGATCAAAGAGGATTATGCCAAGCTGTACGATGACATGCAGACAGCCTTCCGTAGCTTAGAAGATTAAGCACACCACGCACGCACATGTACACACGCACGCATACAGATTCGTACGCACGCACATGTACACACGCACGTATACAGATTCACACGCGTACACACATGTACACACGCACATATACAGATTCACACACACGTACACACATGTACACACGCACATATACAGATTCACACACACGTACACACATGTACACACGCACGTATACAGATTCACACACACGTACACACATGTACACACGCACGTATACAGATTCACACGCAAGTACACACATGTACACACGCACGTCTATACAGATTCACACACAAGTACACACATGTACACACGCACGCATACAGATTCACACGCAAGTACGCACATGTACACACGCACGTATACAGATTCACACACACGTACACACATGTACACACGCACGTCTATACAGATTCACACATAAGTACACACATGTACACACGCACGTATACAGATTCACACGCAAGTACACACATGTACACACGCACGTACACAGATTCACACGCACGTACACACATGTACACACGCACGTACACAGATTCACACGCACGTACACACATGTACACACGCACGTATACAGATTCACACGCACGTACACATGCACGTACACACATTCACACGCAAGTACACACATCTTCTTGGTTCTTTCGGTAAAGTCACGTAGAAGGGAAGTAATAAAATAATAAAAATAAAACATAATAAAATAATTCTCACGTTTCGGCTACAACACCTCAAGACGGCTGCTTGCATTGTAGCCGAAACGTCGTGAGAATTATTTTATTATGTTTTATTTTTATTATTTTATTACTTCCCTTCTACGTGACTTTACCGAAAGAACCAAGAAGATGAATCCCTGCAGTCACGAAAGCTTTAAATGGAAAAAAAGTACACACATGTACACACGCACGCACACAGATGCACACGCACGTACACACATGTACACACGCACGTATACAGATTCACACGCCCGTACACACATGTACATACGCACGTACACACATTCACACGCTTATTAAAAAATATGTTCACAGAAACACATTCACACACGAGCGCACAAACCCAGCCACAATGGTTTCACAGTCACGCACACACACACACACAGTGATACGGTTTAGACTGCATAACGCTTTGCGCGCAAAACTAACACAGTTCCGATCTGCGCTAAGAAAATCAAGATGATGAATATATAACGAGGACACGAAGGAAAAAATAATGATAAAGTGAGAGTAAGGTAATTAAATATATGTATATGTCGCAACCGTGCGTTTGCCTGCAGTAAATTTTAGTCACGTTTTACGATTGTGTAGATGTGAGCTTCACACCCTCCCCCTAAGAGAAGGCTGAGGACGCCCCCCCCCCCCCCCCCGTGTACACACTCCCGCGGTGTGTGTGTCACCGCACACGGATCGTGATACCCACCAGCACACGATCCTGCTGCTGCTGCTGCTGTGAATGTGTCCCCGTTCGTTCATTCCATCGCGTCTCGCGTCACATCTCTCCGACGTTCGTGTGGGTGGTTTGTGTCTCCCCCCCCACCCCGTGTACACACTCACGCGGTGTGTGTGTCACCGCACGCGGATCGTGACACGATCCTGCTGCTGCTGTCAATGTGTCCCCGCTCTTTCATTCCATCGCGTCTCGCGTCACCTCTCTCCGACGTGCGCGTGGGTGGTTTGTGTCTCACACCCCCCGCCCCCCGCCGCCGCCGCCACGTGTCTCGCTCCTTTGAGTTGTTCCGCGGCTGTCATCGGTTAAGACTCGTCGACCCTGTGCGGTTCCCACCTTAAAGCCGTTCGCCCCCGGGGGAGGTGGATGTACGTACGGGTGTTGAACTTTCACGCCCGTACTTACGTGGCCAGCCACGGCTCATCGGACGACGAACTTAAACACGGAAAGCCGTTCTGAAGAAATAAGTCGTCAATCTGGGCGATGATTTAAAAGCGCGCGTAGCCTCCCTGTGGCTTGCTCGATATCCAAATTGAAGAGCGTTCCAGACGGCCCCTGAAAGCGCCGCGCGACGCGTTGACCGTCTTTGTTCGACGGGTTGGCCGAAAGCCGCCGCTGCGAGAGTGACCGGAGTTTGCCTGATGGTCGGTGCTCATTGATCTGTCGTTCATTGTCGCAGCCGTGGGCGGACGTACGTACGTTGAGTTTCGCGCCGGGGTACGTACGTGGTCAACCGCGGTTGATGGGGGAGGGCGGGAGGACGGTGGAACTTGAACACAAAAAGCAACTCTAAAGAAATGAGTTCTCAATCCGGACGACGATTTAAAAGTGCGCGTAGCTCCCAAAACATCGCAATCGAAGAGTGTTTCAGGCGGGCCGCACGAAGGAAAGGGGGTGGAGGGATGTAATTTGTCGTCGTGGTTGTGTCTTCGTCTGAGATGGTCCAAGGCAGCTCGGTTTCCCCCCCTCCCCCCCCAAACACCCCTCTTCCCCTCCGTGTTTTGAGAATTTCCGTCAATAAACGTGGACCCCCCCCCCCACTCCAGGAATCTACAGAGTTGTTCGTGGGCGTCCCATCGACCGTCCGCGTTGTTTCGGGCGTTCGGCTCGCTGATGTGAATGTCCACGCGGCGACGAAGAGCCGCCGCTTGTGCTGGGCCAGCTCGCTTGTGAAGCCGATACGTGGTGGCCTAAGCCCAGGCTTGGCCACGGGAGGTAGTGACGGGAGTCAAGTTGTGAGTGTGAAGGGACTGGTGGCCACGGGAGGTAGTGACGGGAGTCAGTTGTGAGTGTGAAGGGACTGGTGGCCACGGGAGGTAGTGACGGGAGTCAGTTGTGAGTGTGAAGGGACTGGTGGCCACGGGAGGTAGTGACGGGAGTCAGTTGTGAGTGTGAAGGGACTGGTGGCCACGGGAGGTAGTGACGGGAGTCAGTTGTGAGTGAAGGGACTGGTGGCCACGGGAGGTAGTGACGGGAGTCAGTTGTGAGTGTGAAGGGACTGGTGGCCACGGGAGGTAATGACAGGGGTATCAGCTGTGAGTGTGAAGGGACTGGTGGCTACGGGAGGTAATGACGGGAGTCAGTCGTGAGTGTAGGGACTGGTGGCCCCGGGAGGTAATGACGGGAGTCAGTTGTGAGTGCGAAGGGACTGGTGGCCACGGGAGGTAATGACGGTAGTCAGTTGTGAGTGTGAAGGGACTGGTGGCCACGGGAGGTAATGACAGGGGGAGTCAGTTGTGAGTGCGAAGGGACTGGTGGCCACGGGAGATAATGACGGGGGAGTCAGTTGTGAGTGCGAAGGGACTGGTGGCCACGGGAGGTAGTGACAGGGGAGTCAGTTGTGAGTGTGAAGGGACCGGTGGCCACGGGAGGTAATGACAGGGGAGTCCTTTGTGAGTGTGAAGGGACTGGTGGCCACGGGAGGTAGTGACAGGGGAGTCAGTTGTGAGTGTGAAGGGACTGGTGGCCACGGGATGTAGTGACAGGGGAGTCAGCTGTGAGTGCGAAGGGACTGGTGGCCACGGGAGGTAATGACAGGGGAGTCAGTTGTGAGTGCGAAGGGACTGGTGGCCATGGGAGGTAATGACAGGGGAGTCAGTTGTGAGTGTGAAGGGACAGGTGGCTACGGGAGGTAATGACCGGAGTCAGTTGTGAGTGGGAAGGGACTGGTGGCCACGGGAGGTAGTGACAGGGGAGTCAGTTGTGAGTGGGAAGGGACTGGTGGCCACGGGAGGTAATGACAGGGGAGTCAGTTGTGAGTGTGAAGGGACTGGTGGCCACGGGAGGTAGTGACAGGGGAGTCAGTTGTGAGTGTGAAGGGACTGGTGGCCACGGGAGGTAATGACAGGGGAGTCAGTTGTGAGTGGGAAGGGACTGGTGGCCACGGGAGGTAATGACAGGGGAGTCAGTTGTGAGTGGGGAGGGACTGGTGGCCACGGGAGGTAGTGACAGGGGAGTCAGTTGTGAGTGGGAAGGGACTGGTGGCCACGGGAGGTAATGACAGGGGAGTCAGTTGTGAGTGGGAAGGGACTGGTGGCCACGGGAGGTAATGACAGGGGAGTCAGTTGTGAGTGCGAAGGGACTGGTGGCCACGGGAGGTAGTGACAGGGGAGTCAGCTGTGAGTGCGAAGGGACTGGTGGCCACGGGAGGTAATGACAGGGGTATCAGCTGTGAGTGTGAAGGGACTGGTGGCCACGGGAGGTAATGACAGGGGAGTCAGTTGTGAGTGCGAATGGACTGGTGGCCACGGGAGGTAATGACAGGGGAGTCAGTTGTGAGTGTGAAGGGACTGGTGGCCACGGGAGGTAATGACACGGGAGTCAGCTGAGAGTATGAAGGGACTGGTGGCCACGGAAGCTAATGACACGGGAGTCAGCTGAGAGTGTGAAGGGACTGGTGGCCACGGGGGGTAATGACAGGGGAGTCAGCTGAGAGTGTGAAGGGACTGGTGGCCACGGAAGCTAATGACACGGGAGTCAGCTGAGAGTGTGAAGGGACTGGTGGCCACGGGAGGTAATGACACGGGAGTCAGCTGAGAGTATGAAGGGACTGGTGGCCACGGGAGGTAGTGACAGGGGAGTCAGTTGTGAGTGTGAAGGGACTGGTGGCCACGGGATGTAGTGACAGGGGAGTCAGCTGTGAGTGCGAAGGGACTGGTGGCCACGGGAGGTAATGACAGGGGAGTCAGTTGTGAGTGCGAAGGGACTGGTGGCCATGGGAGGTAATGACAGGGGAGTCAGTTGTGAGTGTGAAGGGACAGGTGGCTACGGGAGGTAATGACCGGAGTCAGTTGTGAGTGGGAAGGGACTGGTGGCCACGGGAGGTAGTGACAGGGGAGTCAGTTGTGAGTGGGAAGGGACTGGTGGCCACGGGAGGTAATGACAGGGGAGTCAGTTGTGAGTGTGAAGGGACTGGTGGCCACGGGAGGTAGTGACAGGGGAGTCAGTTGTGAGTGTGAAGGGACTGGTGGCCACGGGAGGTAATGACAGGGGAGTCAGTTGTGAGTGGGAAGGGACTGGTGGCCACGGGAGGTAATGACAGGGGAGTCAGTTGTGAGTGGGGAGGGACTGGTGGCCACGGGAGGTAGTGACAGGGGAGTCAGTTGTGAGTGGGAAGGGACTGGTGGCCACGGGAGGTAATGACAGGGGAGTCAGTTGTGAGTGGGAAGGGACTGGTGGCCACGGGAGGTAATGACAGGGGAGTCAGTTGTGAGTGCGAAGGGACTGGTGGCCACGGGAGGTAGTGACAGGGGAGTCAGCTGTGAGTGCGAAGGGACTGGTGGCCACGGGAGGTAATGACAGGGGTATCAGCTGTGAGTGTGAAGGGACTGGTGGCCACGGGAGGTAATGACAGGGGAGTCAGTTGTGAGTGCGAATGGACTGGTGGCCACGGGAGGTAATGACAGGGGAGTCAGTTGTGAGTGTGAAGGGACTGGTGGCCACGGGAGGTAATGACACGGGAGTCAGCTGAGAGTATGAAGGGACTGGTGGCCACGGAAGCTAATGACACGGGAGTCAGCTGAGAGTGTGAAGGGACTGGTGGCCACGGGAGGTAATGACAGGGGAGTCAGCTGAGAGTGTGAAGGGACTGGTGGCCACGGAAGCTAATGACACGGGAGTCAGCTGAGAGTGTGAAGGGACTGGTGGCCACGGGAGGTAATGACACGGGAGTCAGCTGAGAGTATGAAGGGACTGGTGGCCACGGAAGCTAATGACACGGGAGTCAGCTGAGAGTGTGAAGGGACTGGTGGCCACGGGAGGTAATGACAGGGGAGTCAGCTGAGAGTATGAAGGGACTGGTGGCCACGGAAGCTAATGACACGGGAGTCAGCTGAGAGTATGAAGGGACTGGTGGCCACGGGAGGTAATGACAAAAATGGGAGGGTGGGGCGTGGGAGGGGGGTGGGGCTGGGTGGGGTGGGGCTGGGTGGGGAGGGGAAGGTGGGGAGGGGCTGGGTGGGGAGGGTGAGTAGGGGCTGGGTGGGGAGGGTGGGGAGGGGCTGGGTGGGGAGGGTGTGGAGGGGCTGGGTGGGGAGGGTGGGGAGGGGCTGGGTGGGGAGGGTGGGGAGGGGCTGGGTGGGGAGGGTGGGGAGGGGCTGGGTGGGGAGGGTGTGGAGGGGCTGGGTGGGGAGGGTGGGGCTGGGTGGGGGGTGGGAGGGGTGGGGGGTGGGAGGGGTGGGGCTGGGTGGGGAGGGGCTGGTCACCCCGTGGTGCCCTTATAAAACTCAACGTTTCACCTACTCACGCCGGCTTGTGCCCGCCCTCACAGTGGGCCATATTTGCGGAATACACCACGCCGCCGTTGACCCTGCAGGCCATTGACCGAGCAACCCGACGTTCCTACCAGCTCCCTCCGCAGGACAATGTGTTTTAAAAGGTTTAAAATGGGTGTAGCCCAAGGGTCATAAAGAAGTTGGCGGGGCTAGTTATGTTAATGTGAGAGATGAGCATGATGTTAATGTGAGGGATTAGCATGTTAATGTGAGAGATTAGCACGATGTTAATGTGAGGGATTAGCATGTTAATGTGAGAAATTAGCATGATGTTAATGTGAGGGATTAGCATGTTAATGTGAGAAATTAGCATGATGTTAATGTGAGGGATTAGCATGTTAATGTGAGAGATTAGCATGATGTTAATGTGAGAAATTAGCATGATGTTAATGTGAGGGATTAGCATGTTAATGTGAGAAATTAGCATGATGTTAATGTGAGGGATTAGCATGTTAATGTGAGAAATTAGCATGATGTTAATGTGAGGGATTAGCATGTTAATGTGAGAGATTAGCATGATGTTAATGTGAGAGATTAGCATGATGTTAATGTGAGAGATTAGCATGATGTTAATGTGAGAAATTAGCATGATGTTAATGTGAGGGATTAGCATGTTAATGTGAGAGATTAGCATGATGTTAATGTGAGAGATTAGCATGATGTTAATGTGAGAGATTAGCATGATGTTAATGTGAGAGATTAGCATGATGTTAATGTGAGGGATTAGCATGATGTTAATGTGAGAAATTAGCATGATGTTAATGTGAGAGATTAGCATGATGTTAATGTGAGAGATTAGCATGATGTTAATGTGAGAGATTAGCATGATGTTAATGAGAAATTAGCATGATGTTAATGTGAGAAATTAGCATGATGTTAATGTGAGAGATTAGCATGATGTTAATGTGAGGGATTAGCATGATGTTAATGTGAGAAATTAGCATGATGTTAATGTGAGGGATTAGCATGTTAATGTGAGAGATTATCAAGATGTTAATGTGAGAGATGAGCATGATGTTAATGTGAGAAATTAGCATGTTAATGTAATAACGAAGAGTGGTGCAATCTAAAGGCATGTGAGCATGAGAGTGAATTTTTTTAAAAATAAAATAAAAAAAACACTCAAACTCGCCATGTGAACCCAATTCTGGGGATGTACTGGTGACGTCACGACTCGCCGCTTCTGGATGACGTCACGACCCCAACAATGTGACGTCACGTGATGACGTGACGTCACATTGTTCATTTAACGCAGCGTTGGGAGCGTGTGCGTGACGTAATCGAGGCGGTATGCAAATGAGATATACTCTACGGCGATGTGACGTCACGCACGCAGTTGAACGTCATATTAATACGTCACGCACGCAGTGTACGCCACATCATCGTCGATGATGTGACGTCACGCACGCAGTGTACGTACTCGCCGGGAGGGTCTCCCGTGACGTCATCGACGGGGTATGCAAATGAGGTGTACTCGATGGTGAGGTGACGTCACGCCTCCTGTTGGCGGGACTGACGGGGGCCCTGAAAGATGTCTTCCTTCGTGACCGAGGTTCTCGTTTCGGCGGGAAAGCTGGAGAAGGAGGACTTATCGACGAAAATCAGCAAACTCTCTCGGCGCGTCGACGAGGTCAAGGTGAGAACATTGTTGTCGTTGTTAATGTCTCCTCAAAAAAATATATATTTAAAAAAAAATAAGTAGGCCTCTGTCAGTGTCGTCGGACTCACCGGGCTCGGATAGATGCAGCCGCCTCGCCGGGGTGCAGAGAACCCGGCGAGAGATTTATGGAGGAGGGGGGGGGGGGGTCCGTGACTCGGTCTCCCTCAGGTAAATATTTTTTAACACAAAATTAATGTCGTTAAAGTATCTCGTCTCCGTTGTTATTCACGTTGACCGTGAGGCGTCGTGCTACAGTGATAGCCGGGTCTCTCATTTTTTTAATTAAAACCTTTATATTAAGTTCAATTGCTTGCTTGCTTAGGACCGTGCAAATCTTTCGGTCGTTTTTTAACTCACTTCCCGTGATCCAATCGAGCTGGCATTTTGCACACAGACTCGTTGTGCGAGACAATTAATGTTCGTGAAAATTTTTGTTACAAAATTTTACACTGTTTAGGGAAAACAAATTAAATATGTAATTACCAATTGCTTAATGGTGGCAGACAATCATCTGACCCATAGGTGGCAGCCATCTCAAGCCAGAGGACGAGAGGACTCTAGCCGCCACGCATATAAAGGATTTAGAGTGAAAAACTTTGTTTTTACGGGTTATACTTATACCTGGTAAGGTAAAAGTGGTTAAGTTTTAATCGTGTATTGTTTAAAGTGATTTGTTAACTTCTCATAGTTTCCTTAGTCTCTTGGCATCTCCATCCTCAACTAAACCGACTCGATTAAAACATCCCCCTCGACCCGTAAGAAGGGAGAAACACAAACAAATAGACACTCACCACTAGTACACTCACCACTACTACACTCACCACTAGTACGCTCACCACTAGTACACTCACCACTAGTACACTCACCACTAGTACACTCACCACTACACTCACCACTACTACACTCACCACTAGTACACTCACCACTAGTACACTCACCACTACACTCACCACCAGTACACTCACCACCAGTACACTCACCACTAGTACACTCACCACTAGTACACTCACCACTACTACACTCACCACTACACTCAACTACACTCACCACTAGTACACTCACCACTACACTCACCACTACACTCACCACCAGTACACTCACCACCAGTACACTCACCACTAGTACACTCACCACTAGTACACTCACCACTACTACACTCACCACTACACTCACTACTACACTCACCACTAGTACACTCACCACTACACTCACCACTACACTCACCACCAGTACACTCACCACTAGTACACTCACCACTAGTACACTCACCACTACACTCACCACCAGTACACTCACCACCAGTACACTCACCACCAGTACACTCACCACTAGTACACTCACCACTACTACACTCACCACTACTACACTCACCACTACTACACTCACCACTACTACACTCACCACTACACTCACTACTACTACACTCACCACTAGTACGCTCACCACTACTACACTCACCACTAGTACGCTCACCACTAGTACACTCACCACTAGTACACTCACCACTAGTACGCTCACCACTACTACACTCACCACTAGTACGCTCACCACTAGTACACTCACCACTACTACACTCACCACTAGTACGCTCACCACTAGTACACTCACCACTAGTACACTCACCACTACTACACTCACCACTACTACACTCACCACTAGTACACTCACCACTAGTACGCTCACCACTACTACACTCACCACTACTACACTCACCACTAGTACGCTCACCACTAGTACACTCACCACTAGTACACTCACCACTAGTACACTCACCACTACACTCACCACTACTACACTCACCACTAGTACACTCACCACTAGTACACTCACCACTACACTCACCACCAGTACACTCACCACCAGTACACTCACCACCAGTACACTCACCACTAGTACACTCACCACTACTACACTCACCACTACACTCACTACTACACTCACCACTAGTACACTCACCACTACACTCACCACTACACTCACCACCAGTACACTCACCACCAGTACACTCACCACTAGTACACTCACCACTAGTACACTCACCACTAGTACACTCACCACTAGTACACTCACCACTACACTCACCACCAGTACACTCACCACCAGTACACTCACCACCAGTACACTCACCACTAGTACACTCACCACTACTACACTCACCACTACTACACTCACCACTACTACACTCACCACTACTACACTCACCACTACACTCACTACTACACTCACCACTAGTACACTCACCACTACACTCACCACTAGTACACTCACCACCAGTACACTCACCACTAGTACACTCACCACTAGTACACTCACCACTACTACACTCACCACTACACTCACTACTACACTCACCACTAGTACACTCACCACTACACTCACCACTAGTACACTCACCACTAGTACACTCACCACTAGTACACTCACCACTACACTCACCACTAGTACACTCACCACCACACTCACCACTACACTCACCACTAGTACACTCACCACTACACTCACTACTACACTCACCACTAGTACACTCACCACTACACTCACCACTAGTACACTCACCACTACACTCACCACTAGTACACTCACCACTACACTCACCACTAGTACACTCACCACCACACTCACCACTAGTACACTCACCACTACACTCACCACTAGTACACTCACCACTACACTCACCACTAGTACACTCACCACCACACTCACCACTAGTACACTCACCACTACACTCACCACTAGTACACTCACCACTAGTACACTCACCACCAGTACACTCACCACCACACTCACCACCACTACACTCACCACCACACTCACCACTAGTACACTCACCACTAGTACACTCACCACTAGTACACTCACCACTAGTACAATCACCACTAGTACACTCACTACTACACACTCACCACCACTACACTCACCACTACACTTACCACTACACTTGCCACTACACTCACCACCACTACACTCACCACTACACACACACACTCACCACTAGTACTCACCCAGACACTCACCCACTCACTCACCCAGTCACCCACACACTTACCCACACACTCATACCTGTCAACCCCTTATCAGTGGCTAACTTATTACAGACCAATTCACACCTTATTTGACTCACCCCGTGCCTCATATATCTCAATGTTCAAAACCACTAAGTCCCATCACAAGGGAGAAACACAAACAAATGGACAATCACCACTAGTACACTCACCACCACACTCACCACCACTACGCTCAACACCACTACACTCACCACTAGTACACTCACCACCACACTCACCACCACTACGCTCACCACTAGTACACTCACCACCACTACGCTCAACACCACTACACTCACCACTAGTACACTCACCACCACACTCACCACCACACTCACCACCACTACACTCACCACCAGTACACTCACCACCACTACACTCACCACCAGTACACTCACCACTAGTACACTCACCACCAGTACACTCACCACTAGTACACTCACCACCACACTCACCACCACACTCACCACCACTACACTCACCACCAGTACACTCACCACTAGTACACTCACCACCAGTACACTCACCACTACACTTACCACCACACTCACCACCACTACACTCACCACCAGTACACTCACCACTACACTTACCACCACACTCACCACCACTACACTCACCACTAGTACACTCACCACTATTATACTCACCACTACTACACTCACCACTAGTACACTCACCACTACACTTACCACTAGTACACTCACCACCACTACACTCACCGCGACATACCTGTCAACCTCTTATCAGTGCCTTACCTTATTACAGACCAATTCAGACCTTATTTGACTCATCCGTGCCTCTTATAAATCGTTCATCCCACTGTCCCATCACAAGGGAGAAACACAAACAAATTGACAATCACCACTACTACACTCACCACTAGTACACTCACCACCACTACGCTCACCACCACTACATTCACCACCACTACACTCACCAGCAGTACGCTCACAACCACGACACTCACCCAGACACGTAGAATGGAAATAATAAAATAATAAAAATAAAACATAATAAAATACAATTCTCACGACGTTTCGGCCACAACGCAAGCAGCCGTCCTCAGGTGAAGAACAGGTCTGTCGGAAAGACAGAGTCTGAATGACACACCCCAGGCTTGGAGCGTCTATTTAAGCTGGGAGGGAGGAGGAAGAGCGACTTGACAAAATAATTTGCATATCAAGAGGAATTTTAGCATATTTATGGGAAATGCAGATATGCGATTAGTACTACTTGTGAAATGCGTAGGAGGTTTGGCGAGGGGTTTAAAGTCATGTTTATTATTACCTCAACTGGCTCGGTGTAACAGCGCGAGTCTCCCGACCAAACCTCTCTTTTAACGCGCCCCTCCCGTTCTCCCCTGATGTCTGCGGGGCCAGGGAGAGGTGTTCGACCTGGTGGCCAAAAAGTTCGAGACTTTCTCTCCCACCCTCGTCTCGTCCGAAGCCCTCGCCGCCCAGGTGCAGGGCGTCTGCAATGACCTCGACTCCCTGCGAGACAGAGTTCAGCAGCAGGTGAGTGACGCGCGGAGCGGTGGTGCAGCGGTGAGCGCGGCGACGCTGCTTACGAACCCAAAGCGAGCAAAGGTTCGATTCCCGCCAGAGGTCGCAACCGGGTACCCGATACCCATACCCTACCCGATACCCGGCTACCCGTACCCGGCCGGGTACGGGTACGGGTAGCCGTTTGCGACCCTGGTGCGGCCGGGTACGGGTACGGGTAAGGAATCAAAACCCGTTTGCAACCTCTGATTCCCGCTCACGGCCAACGCCGGTGACGGATATCTGAACCCGTCTTGGGCCTCCCCCTCGGTTGACTTGGCCTCAAACGAGTGCCTGATGCAGTGGTGTGTAAAAGCATCGCCTCCAGGGAGACAGAGGCGGTTGGGCGTGGCGTTGGCAAACCCACCCCCTCGTGTGCCGTGCCGGCCTTCGTAGGTGCCGCTATTCACTAACAGCACTTGATCCAACAGGCTGTTAAGGCTTCACGGGGGATTTTCGTTTTTTGGAGAGTATTCCAGTTGTGGTGCAGTCTGTAACGTCGGTGTCGTGTTGAAAGTGGGGCATGGTGGTGGCGGATATATGTGTGGATGTTGAGTACCAGGTGCAGTTTGTGTAAACATCGCCACTGGGGAGACAAAGGCGGCCGGGCGTGGTGCTGGCCACCCACCCCCTCGTGTGCCGTGCCGGCCTTCATAGGTGCCGCTACTCGCGAACAGCACTCGCCCTAAAAGTCTGTTACAGGCAATATGAGGGATCTTTGTTTTGTGTGTGCTTATAGCTAAAATGCATGATAGGGGTGGTCACAGCGGGTGCATCTGCCAGTCGTCATCTCATTCAGTCAACCCATGGCACCTGGGTCTGTCCCCCGTGACCTCCTGCCAGCAGCGAGCCTTCGACACTTCGCGCGACCTCCAAGTGCACCTCGCCGCGTTGACGTCACCGCCACTTAGCGGCGAACGGCGGCGGTTGTTGTGTCTCGCCGTCTCTCCGCGCGCGTGGCCAGGTGCGCAGGGAGGCTCACAACGCCATCACGGAGTTCTCGAGCCTTCGCGAGCAGCTGGAGAGCACCAACGCGGTGCTGTGCACGCTCAAGCAGCTGCACAAGGTAACGGTCGCGGCGCCGCCGGGCGCCGGTGGTACGACGAAAGCGGACTGCGACGGGATCGCCGTTCCGGCTCGTGCAGGTGTAATGACGGCTTGGAAGCACTTCTTCTTGGTTCTTTCGGTAAAGTCACGTAGAATGGAAATAATAAAATAATAAAAATAAAACATTAAATAACAGATCTGTCAGAAAGACAGCGCTGTCTCCCCGACAGACCTGTTCTTCACCTGAGGACGGCTGCTTGCGTTGTGGCCTAAACGTCGTGAGAATAATTTTATTATGTTTTATTTGTATTATTTTATTATTTCCATTCTACGTGGTGACTTTACCGAAAGAACCAAGAAGATGAATCCCTGCAGTCACGAAAGCTTTAAATCGAAATTTGGAAGCACTTGCCTTGAGATGGCTTCTTTTGTTGAGGAGCCACGCGCTCACACTCGGACAGGCGGAGACCCACACTGCAACAGCCCCGAGTCTCCCGCGCTTCTCCCTTAGACAGTAGAACCTCTGGTCACGACCATAATTCGTTCCATAACTTTGGACGCAACCCGATTTGGTCGTGACTCGAACCTAATTTCTCCATTGGATTGTATGTAAATACGATTAATCCGTTCTACAGATGTAGATGCCACTGGTTCTTCACTTTCTGCAGATGTAGATGCCACTGGTTCTTCATGTTGGGATGTAGATGCCACTGGTTCTTCATGTTGGGATGTAGATGCCACTGGTTCTTCACGTTCTGCAGATGTAGATGCCACTGGTTCTTCACATTCTGCAGATGTAGATGCCACTGGTTCTTCACGTTCTGCAGATGTAGATGCCACTGGTTCTTCACATTCTGCAGATGTAGATGCCACTGGTTCTTCACATTCTGCAGATGTAGATGCCACTGGTTCTTCACGTTCTGCAGATGTAGATGCCACTGGTTCTTCACGTTCTGCAGATGTAGATGCCACTGGTTCTTCACGTTCTGCAGATGTAGATGCCACTGGTTCTTCACGTTCTGCAGATGTAGATGCCACTGATTCTTCACGTTCTGCAGATGTAGATGCCACTGGTTCTTCACGTTCTGCAGATGTAGATGCCACTGGTTCTTCACGTTCTGCAGATGTAGATGCCACTGGTTCTTCATGTTCTGCGGATGTAGATGGCACTGGTTCTTCACATTCTACAGATATAGATACCACCAGTTCTTCACGTTCTGTAGATGTAGATGCCAAATTATAAAAGCACGATTTTCTGTCGTAGCAACAAAATCAGCCCGGTGCGACGTTCAGGCCTTATCGGTGCTTTTTTAAGGTTGTCTTGCGTTGTCCTTGTGCGCGTCCCAGGTTTACCAGTGCCTGGAGGGCTCGAGAGAGGCGTTGGGCGCTCATAAATATCTGCTGTCTGCAAGAAGACTCCTCAATGTAAGCACAGGCGGTTCACAATGGCCGTGTCGTAGACACTCAGCCGTGTGTCTCGGTTGGAGCCCTCGGTCTTGGATGCATCTCTGTTCCTTCTTCCTGTGTGTCTCTGTCTCCCCGTGCGTGTGTGTCTCTGTCTCCCTGTGTGTGTCTGTGTGTGTCTGTCTCCCCGTGTGTGTGTGTGTGTCTGTGTGTCTCTGTCTCCCCGTGTGTGTGTCTCTGTCTCCCCGTGTGTGTGTCTCTGTCTCGCCGTGTGTGTGAGTGTGTGTCTCTGTCTCCCTGTGTGTGTCTGTGTGTGTCTATCTCCCCGTGTGTGTGTGTCTCTGTCTCCCCGTGTGTGTCTCTGTCTCCCCGTGTGTGTCTCTGTCTCCCCGTGTGTGTCTCTGTCTCCCCGTGTGTGGGTGTGTCTCTGTCTCCCCGTGTGTGTGTGTGTCTCTGTCTCCCCGTGTGTGTGTCTCTGTCTCGCCGTGTGTGTGTGTGTGTCTCTGTCTCCACGTGTGTGTGTGTGAGTCCGTGTCTCCACGTGTGTGTGTGTGTCTCTGTCTCCCCGTGTGTGTGTGTGTCTGTCTCCCCGTGTGTGTGTGTGTGTGTCTGTCTCCCCTTGTGTGTGTGTCTGTCTCCCTTGTGTGTGTGTGTGTGTGTCTGTCTCCCCGTGTGTGTGTGTGTCTGTCTCCCCGTGTGTGTGTGTCTGTCTCCCCTTGTGTGTGTGTGTCTGTCTCCCCGTGTGTGTGTGTGTGTCTCTGTCTCCCCTTGTGTGTGTGTGTGTGTGTTTGTCTCCCCTTGTGTGTGTGTGTCTCTGTCTCCTCGTGTGTGTGTGTGTCTGTCTCCCCGTGTGTGTGTGTGTCTGTCTCCCCGTGTGTGTGTGTGTCTGTCTCCCCGTGTGTGTCTCTGTCTCCCCGTGTGTGTGTGTGTGCGTCTCTGTCTCCCCGTGTGTGTGTGCGTCTCTGTCTCCCCGTGTGTGTGTCTGTCTCTGCCTCCGTGCGTCCCCGTGTCTCAGGGCCAGCACGCCGTGCAGTGTGTGCTGGATGATCCGTATGTCACCCTGTGTCTCAATGTGTCACCTTGTCCCCGTGCGTCCCCGTGTCTCTCTCCGTGCGTTCCTGTGTCTCTCCGCGCGTCCCCGTGTCTCTGTCCCTGCGTTCCCCATGCATCCCCGCGTCTCTGTCCGTGCGTTCCCCCGTGTCTCTCAGGGCCAGCGTGCCACGCTGCGTCTGCAGGAGGATCTTGGCAGGGACGTGCGGCTGCTGGAGGCCGTGCAGTCTGAGCTGGTGACGCAGCGAGAGAACCTCATCAACCACCTCAACGACGAGTGGAGGCAGCGCGTGGTGTGGGCCGTGCCTACCGGCAAGGGTGCGTGTGTCGGTGGGGTGGGTGAGGGTGGGGTAGGGGTGGGTGGGTGAGGGTGGGTTTGTGGGTAGGTGAGGGTGGGTTTGTGGGTAGGTGAGGGTGGGTTTGTGGGTAGGTGAGGGTGGGTTTGTGGGTAGGTGAGGGCGGGTTTGTGGGTAGGTGAGGGTGGGTTTGTGGGGTAGGTGAGGGAGGGTTTGTGGGTAGGTGAGGGAGGGTTTGTGGGTAGGTGACGGTGGGTTTGTGGGTAGGTAAGGGTTGGTTTGTGGGTAGCTGAGGGTGGTTTTGTGGGTAGGTGAGGGTGGGTTTGTGGGTAGGTGAGGGTGGGTTTGTGGGTAGGTGAGGGTGGGTTTGTGGGTAGGTGAGGGTGGGGTTTGTGGGTAGGTGAGGGTGGGTTTGTGGGTAGGTGAGGGTAGGTGAGGGTGGGTTTGTGGGTAGGTGAGGGTGGGTTTGTGGGTAGGTGAGGGTGGGTTTGTGGGTAGGTGAGGGAGGGTTTGTGGGTAGGTGAGGGTAGGTGAGGGTGGGTTTGTGGGTAGGTGAGGGTGGGTTTGTGGGTAGGTGAGGGAGGGTTTGTGGGTAGGTGAGGGTGGGTTTGTGGGTAGCTGAGGGTGGGTTTGTGGGTAGGTGAGGGTGGGTTTGTGGGTAGCTGAGGGTGGGTTTGTGGGTAGCTGAGGGTGGGTTTGTGGGTAGGTGAGGGTGGGTTTGTGGGTAGCTGAGGGTGGGTTTGTGGGTAGCTGAGGGTGGGTTTGTGGGTAGGTGAGGGAGGGTTTGTGGGTAGGTTAGGGTGGATTTGTGGGTAGGTGAGGGTGGTGGACTTGTGGGATGAGTGTGGATGGGTGAGCGAGTGTCGGCGGGTGAGTGAGTGTGGGCGGGTGAGCGAGTGTGGGCGGGTGTGTGAGTGTGGGTGGGTGAGCGAGTGTAGGTGAGCGAGTGTGCGCGAGTGTAGGTGGGTGAGCGAGTGTGAGCGCGGGTGAGCGAGTGTGAACGGGCGAGCGAGTAAGTCAGAGAGCGAGCGAGCGAGTGTCTCCCCCTTCCGCCCCCGCGTCGTCTCTTACCCCACCCCCCCATCCCCTTTGGGTCCCCCCTCCTCTGCCCCTGCAGAGCAGCCCAGCGTGGAGCAGTGTCTGCACACGCAGCTTCGCCTGCTGGGACCGCCGGGCATCACCCGTGACGAGTCCAAGGGTAGAGAGCCACCCCCCTCCTCCTCCTCCTCCCCCTTCGTCGTCTCCACCACCACCACCGCCACGTCGTCGTCGCCGCCATCGTCGCTGGCCGCCATCCTCGCCGCCTACGCCGCGCTGGGGCTCCTGCACAAGAAGCTGAGACGATTCGGTGCGTTGGCGGCGCGTGGTGAAGGTCGATGCAAACACGACTCCTTGTAAAAAATTGCGTCAGTTTTGTTGCCAGATAAAAGGGTAAAAAAAAAATTTTCATTTTGCTACTGGCAAAGGAGGTTCCAATGGTGTAAATGCTTGACCCCGAGCTCTCATCCTCTGATGGTGCGTTGTCTTTGAGTTGTGCGCCTTTTGGCGTCATCTGGTCCAACCCATATGAGACTAGGCTCTAAGAAAAGCTGTCTGGGATGTGGACCAATCAACTTCAAGGACAGTGCATACATTATCAGAGTTGTGTGTTTTTAGTTTGCATTCCGACCGCAGGCATTGTGGTCAATGCAAACATGACTCCTTGTAAAAAAGGTGTCAGTTTTGTTGCCAGATAAAAGATAAAAAAACAATTAGCATATTTTGCTACTGGCAAAGGAGGTTCCAATGGTGGGTTGTGAACGGTTAAAATTGCCTCCGTGTGCAGTGGAGCTTCTACACTCCTTCGTTCTGCGTCCCCTCGTCGTCTTCCCGGGTCTGGCCGTGAGCGCGGCCGACGGAACCCTGAGCCTCGTCTCCTCGTCCACCTCCTCCTCCGTGTCATCCTCCACCTCGTTGGACCCAGCCCGCACCTTCGCCGCTCTCCTCCAAGCGCTCACGTTTGTCCACCAGCACATGCTGGGTGAGCGTGACGTCATCGCCGTCGTCGTCATCGTCGTCATCATCCGCGCTGTGTCTCTCTCTCTCTCTCTCGCCACGTCTCTCACCCCTCACCGAGTCCCTCCCCCTCTCCTCACCCCCATGTCCTCACCCGGCGTCTCCTCCCCCCCGTGTCTCCCTCCTCACCCGGCGTCTCCTCACCCCCGTGTCTCTCTCCCTCCCTCCGTATCCCTCACCCCCGCGTCTCCCTCCTCACCCCCATGCCTCGCTCACCCAGTCTCTCCGTCTCTCATCAATCCACGCATTTCCCTCCTCACCCGGCGTCTCCTCACTCCATGTCTCCCTCACCCAGCGTCTCTCTCCATCTCTCCTCACCCCCGCGTCTCCCTCCTCACCCCCATGTCTCGCTCACCCAGTCTCTCCGTCTCTCATCAACCCACGCATTTCCCTCCTCACCCGGCGTCTCCTCACTCCATGTCTTCCTCACCCAGCGTCTCTCTCCATCTCTCCTCACCCCCGCGTCTTCCTCCTCACCCGGCGTCTCCTCACCCAGCGTCTCTCCCTCCCTACGTATCCCGCACCCCCGCGTCTCGCTCCTCGCCCTGCATCTCCTCACCCCATGTCTCCCTCTCCCAGCGTCTCTCTCTCCTCACCCCCACGTCTCCCTCCTCACCCTCCGATCAGCACGGTTGGCTACGTACGGTGCGAAAGAAGTTCAGCGTACATCAGCTGAAGCAGCAGCAGCGTCATCATCATCATCACGAGCATCTTCATCAGCGGCATCGGCATCGTCATGAGCGTCACCATCAGCAGCAATCGTTATCATAACAATAATCATCATCTTCATCACGAGCATCTTCATCAGCGGCATCGGCATCGTCATGAGCGTCACCATCAGCAGCAATCGTTATCATAACAATAATCATCATCTTCATCACGAGCATCTTCATCAGCGGCATCGGCATCGTCATGAGCGTCACCATCAGCAGCAATCGTTATCATAACAATAATCATCATCTTCATCACGAGCATCTTCATCAGCGGCATCGGCATCGTCATGAGCGTCACCATCAGCAGCAATCGTTATCATAACAATAATCATCATCTTCATCACGAGCATCTTCATCAGCGGCATCGGCATCGTCATGAGCGTCACCATCAGCAGCAATCGTTATCATAACAATAATCATCATCTTCATAAACTTCAGCATCATCATCAATATTTTGATGAACAACATCATCAGCAGCAGCAGCAGCAGCATCAACCATAATGATCGATTTAATCGTTACAAGCTTTAGCATCATCATCATCATCATGATGAACATCAGCAGAAGCAGCATCAGCCATAACAATCATCGCTGATTTAATCGCCGTAATCTTATTCACCATTGTCATCGGTGTCAACCACCGTCATCATCATCATCACCCTCATCACCATCGATCGCTGAACCTCCGCCCCCGTGCCCCGTCTCCCCTTCGCAGCCGTTCCCCCAAACGAGCCCGTCCTCGTGAGCAACGGGGACGGTGATAGGGATGACGACGATGATGACGATGGCGGTGACGATGTTGGCGGCGACGGCGATGGCGACAGCGGCGATGGTGGCGATGGGGGCGTGGCATCCGTAATGGGCTCGCTGCTGTGGGAGCCTCTGTGTGAGACGCTCATCCAGCACTGCCTCCTCGCCAGCGTTCCCTCGGACAGCGCCGGGCTACAGGCCTACACGGAGGTTTGTGGCGTCGCACGCAAACAAAACAGACTGTCGGGGCAAGTGCTGCTAGCGAGTAGCAGCGGCACCTGTGAAGGCCGGCACGGCACACGAGGGGGTGGGTGGCCAGGATCACAGTGGCGATGTTTACTACACACCGCACCGGGGAAACTCGTTAGAGGCTGAGTCGACCTATGGGAGGCCCATGACCGGTTCAGGTAATCGTCACCGGTGTCGATTGGCCGTGAGCGGGAATCGAACTCGGGTCGCTCGGTTAGTAGCGCGGCGTAGCGCTCACCGCTACACCACCGCACACGCGCACACGCACGTGTGTGACACACACACGCGCAGGTGTGTGTGACGCACACACGCGCAGGTGTGTGTGACGCACACACGCGCAGTTGTGTGTGACGCACACACGCGTAGGTGTGTGTGTCGCACACACGCGCAGTTGTGTGTGACGCACACACGCGCAGTTGTGTGTGACACACACACGCGCAGGTGTGCGAGTCACACACATGCAGCTGTGTGTACGACGCACACACACGCACACGCAGGTGTGTGACGCACACACTCGCTGGTGTGTCACACGCACACACGCAGGTGGCGTCAAACACACACTGGCCCACGCACGCACATGCGAGTGTGTGTCACGCGCGCACGGGGGAGCGCGTCGTACGTGTGCGCCCGCACAACGAAGAGTCGCTGTCTCTGTGGCTGCCGCCCCCGTCGTGCCGCAGGTCATCGACGCCACCGGCTCGTTTGAGCGCTCGCTGCTGTCCCTGGGGCTGCTGTCGAACGAGTCGACGGCGCTGCTGTCGTACGCCCGCGACGTCAACGCCCACTTCTCCGGCAAGAAGTGCCGTGACGGAGTGACGCGTGCTCGCTCGCTCATGACCGCCCCGCTGCACGACACCGTCAAGGTGACGCGCACACAGACACACGGACACACACACGGACACGGGGACACACACAGACACACACGCACAGACAGACACACTGACAAACGAGTGACGCCCGCTCGCTCATGACCGCCCCGCTGCACGACACCGTCAAGGTGACGCGCGCACGGACACACACACAGACATACACACAGACGCGTAGACACGCGCTCGCTCGCTCATGACCGCTCCGCTGCACGACACCGTCAAGGTGACGTGCACACAGACACACGGTCACATACACACACACAGACACACACACAGACACAGACACACACAAACACAGACATACCCAGACACAGACATACACAGACACGTAGAGGCACGCGCTCGCTCACACATGTTCGCTTCGCTGCAGGCAGACACACGGACACACACACAACAACAACAACAACCGCCATTCGCCACTAAGTGGCGGTGACGTCACCACGACGCTTGTGCCAGGCCATGTGCACCTTGAGGCCACACATGGACACACGCACAGACACGGACACACACACGGATACATGCACGGACACATTTGCAAGGACACACGTGGATACACACACGGACAAAGACACGCAGACACGCGCGCGCTCGCTCATCATCTCTCCACGGCAAGACAGTCAAGGTGACACGCGCGCGGACACAGACACACGCGCGCGTGTGCACAGATGGCGAGAGACGCTGACAGCTGATGGACGGGGGGGCACCTTGAAATGGACAGACAGACAGACAGACTTGCAGGCAGGGACAGAGAGAGGCATTGAGAGACTGATGGTGGGAGACACTCACGCGCGCACGCAGATGGACAGACAGGTGGACACGCACGGGGATGAGCGTACGGAGAAAGAGACGGGGAGGGGTTTACTCGCGGACAGACAGAGGGGGACCGGTGGATGAACGTGTAGACACAGGAGACGAGCCAGACTTGCAGAGGGACAGAGAGACAGGAGGAGAGACGGGAGGAGAGACGGGGGGAGAGACGGGAGGAGGGACGGGAGGAGGGACGGGAGGAGGGACGGGGGGAGGGACGGGAGGAGAGACGCGCACGGGGGACGCACGCACGGAGACAGAGACACGGACGCCCCGCCGCTCGCACTCCGAATGTAACCGGCGACCCTCCCTACTCGGGCAGGTCTCGGACGTTCTGGACGTCGTCTTCGCCGGCCCCTCGGCCGAAGCCGTGGCGACGGTGGTGGGCGGTGTCCCCGGCGGCGGTGGCGGCGGCGGTGAGGCGCGGTGTCCCGGCAGAGGGGGCGGTGGCGGTGAGGGCGCGGTGTCTCGGCAGAGGGGGCGGTGGCGGTGAGGCGCGGTGTCCCGGCAGAGGGGGCGGGCGGCCCGGGGCTGTCCCCGGCGACCCTGCGCATGCCGCGTTGCCGCATCAGCCGATCGGCGCGAGACCTCGTCCTGCTCGCTCACGGCATCCTCACCGAAGCCTGCAGCAGCCAGGGGCCCTGGTGAGGCGGGGGGGAGGGGGGGGGAGGTCTCGCTGTGAAGCAGAGGTCACAATCGGGTACCCCCCGATACCCGTACCCTACCTGATACCCGTACCTACCTGATACCCGTACCCTACCCGATACCCGTACCCTACCCGATACCCGTACCCTACCCGATACCCGTACCCTACCTGATGCCCATACCCTACCTGATGCCCGTACCCTACCTGATACCCGTACCCTACCCCCGAACCCGATACCCGTACCCTACCCGATACCCGTACCCTACCTGATACCCGTACCCTACCCGATGCCCGTACCCTACCTGATACCCGTACCCTACCCGATACCCGTACCCTACCCGATACCCGTACCCTACCCGATACCCGTACCCTACCCGATACCCGTACCCTACCCGATACCCGTACCCTACCCGATACCCGTACACCTACCCGATACCCGTACCCTACCTGATACCCGTACCCTACCTGATACCCGTACCCTACCCGATACCCGTACCCTACCCGATACCCGTACCCTACCCGATACCCGGCTACCTTGGTGTGGCCGGGTACGGGTAGGCCGTGAGTCACTGGTGAGTCACCGTTTGTCACTCATTTCCCAACGTCTTGTCTCTTCTCACAATTCAAGTTCCTAGAATCAACCCACCCGCGCCTGCAACATGGCTTCATCCCAGAGGTCGCAACTGGGTACCGATACCCGGCCACCCGTACCCAGGTGGTTCCTCCCAGTAAAAGTGCATAGTTAGCTCCAGTGGAAAGAGGTCACGGGTACAGACCCAGGTGCCATGGGTTTTGCCTGACTGAGATGACAAGCACACACGCAAAACAACCCCGTTGTAGTGAGCAGTGCCGTGGGGGAAATGGGCGTTTGTAACCACCACAGCGGCAAAATGGGGGCTCTGGACCGGGTGCGAGGGGCTGGTAACCCCCTCGACCTTGAAGTAAATGACCACTCAACTACGAAGAAAATATAAAAACGCACACACACACGCTCACACACGCTCACACGCTCACGCTCGTGATTTCTGTCCACAGCGCGCTCAACTATTCTACGCTGTCCGAAACATCTTCCACCTCTTCTGCGACGTCGTGCCAACTTACCACCGGTGAGAGACTACCCCGCCGCCGGCCTTAATAGGCGCTCGCTAACTGGCTACCCATCGCCAGTAGGGTCACACACAAGACCGCCTGCCTCTGCCACAAGGCCTTCATATTCGCCTGCCCACCGTACCTTTCTTCATTACTGACGACTTGCAGCTCAGCGCACGGCAGATGCCTGCGCAGCGCGACTCACGACCTCCTCTTAATACAGTAATCCCTCGCCACTTTGCGGTTCAAGTTTCGCGGCCTCAGTGCATCGCGGATTTTTTCGAACTGATTTAAAGGCCTCATTATACCTGTGGCAGTAACACCATCATCATCATCATTCATCACATTCATCGAACTGCACAGGTCTGTCAATCGTCGTCATTGTCATCGTCATTGTCATCGTCATTGTCATCGTCATTGTCATCGTCATTGTCCATCGTCATTGTCATCGTCATTGTCATCGTCATTGTCATCGTCATTGTCGTCGTCATTGTCATCGTCGTCATTGTCATCGTCATTGTCCACCGTCATTGTCATCGGCATTGTCATCGTCATTGTCATCGTCGTCATTACTGGAGTCAAGTCTCAAGATACTACTGTCATTGGTGAGTGTAGAACACCACAATACGTATCGTATGAAAGAGAGAGAGAGTGAATGTATAGTATTAAGGTTTTATAGTTAAATAGATTTAAGTAAAATATATATATAAAGTATAAATATACATATTTTAAACATTCTGGTACCCACACACACATATACGGAAATTCCTAGGGGGGCCAATCCTACTTCGCGGATTTTCACCTATCGCGAGGGGTGTTCCGGTCCCCATTAACCGCGATCAACGAGGGATCACTGTACCAAGATCCAGGATGGTCACCGTGTCTACGCGCCGCTTCTCGGTGGCAGCCCCAACAGTCTGGAGCGCCGTCACCCCTCTGCACATTCGCAGCATCACCTCCATCGCCTCCTTCAAGACACTTAAAAACTCACCTCTACAACCACGCGCTTTCGAGCGACTCTGAGCTTGGCTCCGCGCCTCTGAGTTGCGGCCACTACGT